TGCTTACACAGGATACTTGGGTGTTTTTAGCTACTTTAACTCATTAAGTGATTTATTTATTATTCCATCCAAAATGCTCGCTTAAAATCCCTGATATGATATGAACATTTAATCGTACAGACAATGCAAACGCAAGAATTATAGCCTCATGTCGGCTGTACGGGTGTTGGTAATGTATCAAAAACTGATGATTTTGCCCTTTTTGTGTGCTTAACACTTTTTATTCGAATGCAATGTAACATTTCTAGCGCAAATCCACCATTGCAAAACCAAAAAATTACGACAAATTGCTTCAATGACCTAATTAAACGTGTTTGCCTATGATGTAGCGTTAACTTCCTTTCAGTTGCGATGTTAACATTAACTATACTTGGGAAAGTGTATTGGGGAGACAGCAAATATTGTAACCATAAAGCATTCAATGAAGTAAAAAATCAAAACCTAACGTGACTTCTCTCTGCAGATTATCTCATAACCTATTTCAATCATGCTAACACTGCTGCCTGTCTGGGTTCGTCGTTTTAACGCACACCACCAGCCATTTATTATTGAGCAATAAATAATGCAGCAAATTATTGTGGAAAGAAGGTCGATTCCAGGATAATTTCACTTGATTCTACTTAAGAGCGGAACCTATCTTCGGGAGGTTGTGATATGTCGCCCTCCCATGACCCTTACGGCGACATGTCAGTCACTACCGTGACAACGGAAAGTAGCTTAATCGCTCGGCCTCAGTCTACACAAAACGGCAGTTGCGAATTCAGAATTTGGTCGAGGAAATGTGATAATCTCAGCCTATCACAACTAAGGTATGACAAGTGATTCATTGCATTCGTTCAATCTGCTTGGGACATTGTTGATATTTTTTACCCAAAACAGTTAATTCGATTTTTTTACATCTTCCAAGAGAGCTTTTAATGAAGCATTTGTTGAAATAAGTGTTGTTAGAGGAGTAAACACTGAAAATTAGATGGATTGCAACCTTGTGTCTTTTTTACCTTGGAATAAGGTTCCCAAGTTACCAGTTCCTCTACATTACTTATAGAGATTTAAAAGCCGAGGCCAATCCTTTCCAAGGCAAGGGAAGATTATAATTGCTAGTAACAGTCGCCGATAATTGCCTTTTGAGAAAATTTGCTCGTTTCTTACCTAGAGATACCGTCTCTTCTTTTCACCGAAAGTCACCACATTTTCAAATGCTTGATTGGAATGCAGACAAGACCCTCTCAGGCGAAAAGCTGCCGCATTTCTAAAAGACAAATGGTTACGGTGGGCACGAACACACCCATTAGTAGTCCCTCAAGTGATAGTAGTGGTGGGCCACGACAAGTCACGACTAACTTAATTAGAAGACGACCGCCTAATGAGACTAAAATGCAGAGGAAGGGTAAAACTAGCCCCCACCTCCCCTCATTATTCACCTGTTTGTCCATGCGATGGGAACTGTGTCCGGTAAATACGCGTTTGATACTGTGTATTCGTCGCTTTTCCGTGCCACTGCAGCTGGCTATTCATTTTTATGCACTTTTCACGCTACTATACAGACTCTATGAAACACATTTTTAAAACACCAAGGTTCAGTTAAGATACTTAAATTGGAGCTTAATAAGCAGTAACGTCGGCCAAATTACTTCATCCTTTCTTCATGAGGTTGATTTTAAAAGTAACAGCTAAATTTCTAACAGTTTTTGTTGTAAGCGGCTACACTACGAGCCTCCAATAAAGACTACTACAATTATAGCAGTCTCTAAAACACTTGTTTTTCTTCAAAAACCAAGAAGTGGATACTATATCGTCTTATGTACATTCTTATCCCCTAAATCATTTCACATAATTCAGTATCCAGGCCTAGAAGTGCCTATACTATCCGCCATGAATGCATAGTGAGTCATGAGTGATTTTGAAAAATGAGGTAAAATAGAGGAAACAAAATTTGTCCTCACTTAGCAATCTTTTACATATTGCATATTGCCACCAGCGCTCACAACCATTTTTATGTCCACTTCTTAAACCATTCTGTATGTGCACATGAAACCACTTACACCGCACCACGTCACACCTCTCCGCCACTGCTACGAACACCACTACTCCATCCGACATTTTGACATTCGGATATTTAGAGCTTCTTAACACAATGAGCGAGGTTTTTGTACAAATATTTTAACCCTTTGGGGTGGGTTGACAATCACTGTATAAATCAACAACCAATGGGAGTGCTGAACTCGCTCTGTGGGATAGGAGAGTGTAGGGTGGGGGAGTGCCGCCAACTGTGAATAGCACAAATGCCACTTTGGGTGGGGAAGCGCGAGTGTGCAAGTGTGCATTCGAGCCGCGTATAGACTCGAAATAACGAGTCTTCAACTTCCCCCCATCCTTCCACCCTTCCCTTCCTCTTGTTGCTCTGGGCCAGAAAAGAGGGTGGATGACCCCTTACGGGTTAGGAAGAGGCTGACTTGGCAGTGGTTAAAATTGCTCGTCAAGGTAGGGAAAAAACACCCCTTGCTCTACTACTACCACTACTACTACTCTAATGAGAGAAGTGGCTCGTAAAATTGTGCTTTTTGTGACACACACCTACACATACTGATGCAAGGTTTTACGGCATCTTCTGAGTTATGTTTGGGCAAATAATATTTTTTTACCTTAGCTGCAAGTGAACTAATTTTAGTCAAAAGTTGTGCTCTGGTACATCACCAATTCTGCCAGTTACTAAAGAACAGTGAGAATTCAGTAGCATAAATATATGTATCCAGTTGATTCATTTTATTTTTTTCCAAACGACAAATGACAAAATTTCCCTTTAATAATGAGTATGGATCTCAGGAGAAGCAGCATATTGGAAACAGTGTTGACTGTTACTGTTTAATTCCTCTTAGATGACATTTCTATGTGCACAAACCTTGCCCTATTAACCAAGTTTAAAACGCTAGACACCCCCCTGATATCATAAACACCTAGTGTTCTGACATAGATCTGTTCAAGTCGTAAATGTCAAATAACCTTCAAATCCAAATACCAATCGAACACTAATTGGGCATATGCCAATCTGTTGTCTTCAACCTCCAAAGCATTTTCAAGACCCATAAAAAAGGTCTGTTTCACACAAATATACATCTTCCTTGCCGATTGGAGGAGGGCCGAAACTCGATTAGAAGATAAGCAGTCCAACTCCCTTTCTTATTTGACCTTTTTATAACTTCAAATTCACACACGCATAAATTTACGTGTCGTTTTATTCTTTCCTTCTATGACTGTCTCCAGATGCAACTTTATTTCACAGAAATAATCTCATAAATAAGATTTTTTGGATCCAGTTCGATCCAAGGAATACTTTCGCATAAATTGTTTTTTAGCTCTTTGAACTGAAAAGTTGGATTGATTTCAGCAATTATTGCCAGTAATACAAAAATGTGCCTAGGGGACTAAATGGAAACCCCGTAGGGGTGAAACTGCTTTACATTTAAGCAGCTATGTATTTCAAAAACATGGATCAGAAAATTGGCATCAGTGTCTTAGGAGGAAATTGACAATTTCAGCCAACAAAAGTTAAATTGTAGTTAAAGTCTAGTTACTCAAAGACCAAAAAATTGTAGCTATCCTCAGGGTGGGACAAGATTGAATTCAGCCCCTCTTCTTGACACAATTCTTGACAATCGCTCACTATAAAATGGTAAATGCGAGTTTTGTGATGTTCAACACTGATTCCTGGTACTTGTATTTCTGCAATGGCTGCGTATCAACTAACGTGAAACTCTCTTAGGGTTCACACTGCTTTATGGCTAATAATGGATCCTACTATCCTTATCTCCAGTAAATTATATGAAATCTAGCTTGTCTATATTCATGTGATGTAGTAACAATACAAGTTTATCCATGGATCATCTTTGAGTATTTTCTTACCAAAGTGAATGAATTGTTCTCTATTATTCAGCGAATCATTCTTCCTTCACTAGTAGGTCACTTTCGCTATAAATTTTCAAGTTAGCAATTTTTATATTGCTTCCAACATCCATAACAGAGTTTTCAACACTTGAGCAAAACAACTCTTCCTTGACAGAAGTGTGATTTGTAAGGGGAATTTTTAGTTTAATGAGTTGTTTACTGAAATGAAGCATCCAAAAACTTCCTCAAAGACAAAAGAAGACATAACACTTGAGCTAAATATGTATCATCGACGTATAGAAGGATGATAGCATGGAGGCCATGCCGCCCAGCAAAAGTGCGAAGCGGAGCCTTAAGTGCTCCTGAAACCAAAACAAAGTGTAAAGCAAATAAGGTCTTTCAGGAAGATGCATTGATCATCTAGTTCTGAGTGTAAGGAAAATATGATAAAAATGTCTAAATTATATCATTAATAGGTAGTTTTAAAGTTTCACAGGTTTATAACCAGTTGTGCTTAATCTTCTGACTCAGCACAAATTGTTCTTTAAATAGCTTTGCTTTATTATCTCCAGTGTTTTTGGTTTATCTGTTACATCGATTGCATATAAAACCCATTCCCTGAACATGAATACTTTTTTATATTTTTAATTACGAGACACCGGCTCAGACTTCATTTCCCTATCCTCCTTTTTTGAATCATGATGTCACCACTTTGGTCATTTTTACAATGAAACTTCTTATTTCTCTGGCAAACGTTCAGCTCCTTACTATTACTGTAACAATTATAGAATAGGTCAGAATTTAATTGACAAACATAAAATCTCACAGACCATATCCAGATTTTGCAAATGCAGAATTTTTAACAGTAAATATATAAATTCACTTTGATAGGCTTTAAAAGTAAATTCAACATCACAACCGCTCCGTATAATGCTACGTTTATTTGTGCTTACCTAGCCTGCAGTGATGAAGGGATTTGTGTGGTATGGTTGTTTTACACAGTTAATGGTTGATGCATCTAGAGAGGAAAGAATTTTAGGAGTTATTGAGAAAGTCAAGGTCTCGGTTGGATGTTCTCCCAAATGCGAACTCGCACGCAGGCACAAAAATGCCATGACATGGGAAGGGGAAAGCGAAATGAACAGTCACCTTGGCTTTTTGTCTCATGCAAACAAGGTGCGGATGACATACCAACCCACGTACACGAGAATACACGCGCCAAAGTGATTAAGAAACCGGTGTTTGGTGGTGCTGGTAAATTAGATAAATGGGATGATAATGCCAAAGGGTGCGAGAAAGAAAAGAGGAGAACGCAATGCCTCCCAATTATCCAATTTCGGTGCATAAAAACCGAAAAACCAACAAGGGGACGTGCTCGTGTGCCCGTCCGTACCACCTTCAGGAGGTGATTTATTGAGCGATTAGCTGTGGCCTGTTATCCCCTCGCAATTAGGCAGGCAATTGGGAAGCAGGGTTGGGGAGTGGAGTGCCCTTACTGATTATCCCATTACGCACCCAGTGGCTCGCATAAGGAGTTCCACGTTTTTGAGACCACCTTCTTCATTTACTGCCTCCTACACCTTATTTACGATTTAGCTGGTATGGAATAAATTTTTCAGTGGTTAAGTTGTATCAGGAGTGCCTCATTCTTATTTGCGTGTAAATAATGTTGCTTTGGTGAGAAAGTAGGTCTAGTTGTATTTTTAAATGGATTTATAGTTTTAGTAACGTAGATTGTGCTACGATACTTTATGATAGGAAAGTAGGGAAATAAGGTCTTTCCTAATCCTCTGATATAAAAGTTCTTGAATGCTAAAAGGTTTACACTACCTTTTAATTGCATTTTTAGTCCGACCATACCTAAGGTTTTCATTGTTCCATACACCCTTAAATTACTTCGTCGTAAAATGTTAAGTGACTTGGTACCATTCCCAATGCCTTCAATTGAAAGTGTTTCACAATCCCATTGACTTGCTTAATTGGCATCAAACATTTTTTGCAATTTTTATGCCTGTATAACTGCATCATTCATTACATCCCATCCCATCACCTCGTCATTAAACCTGGCACTCGTAAGTAAGCAATAAAATCGCATCTTTAAAACACTCAATCTGTCATGCATGACCTATATGGCAATTTTTTGAACATTTATGACATTTTGTGCAAATTGGCAGCCCCAAATGCTGACAGCGGATGAAATCGCGGACCAAATCTAGCTGCAAGTGTTTTTTACGTTCAGTCTGATACTGCCAAAAGCGTTTTGTGCGTGTGTGTTTGTGTGGCTGTATGTGTGTACAGATTTTGATTCGCGGATGATCATCTCCACACCTTCATGCCTATACAAACGCGTTATTTTCGTAGTCCAATCCGGAATTGCGCTATGTTGCGCTATTTACCCAACCTCACGAGTAATTATTCCTGAAAACAGCGTCTATTAGCCCAGTTAATGCGCATTCACAAATGATCATTGCATGGATGAGAGAGTATTTGGAATGATAGTCCTTAATCTCTTACGATTGCCGGTTTGGCTTAAGTAATTCCTCATCCCTCTCTGAGGCTTGCAATTGCTGAGATTTTAGTGACTATTGTCTTTGAAGGCTCATTGGCTGCGGCAAGCTGGTTTCCTCGGTCTGACGATCTGCTGCAAATCAAATTGTAAAACACGACTTGCCAAAATTGAGAATGTTTCGACCAGAGGGAAACAGTAAACTTTTGTGTGATACCGGATCACGCGCCTTTTGAGAAAATGTGCTACATTTGCAGTGTGGGGAGGGAATCAACACGGTCTGATACACATGCACCAATCGAGAGAATGATAATTCATTATCAATGGCGAACGTGTTCTGACCCGCCTCAACTCACCTACCTGTATAATAACAATGTCATTTTAAATTTACTACTACTGCTACACCTCCTACTAATGCTGAGGCCACAATGGACGTTATAAGGGGGAGGGGAGGAGAGGAGGTGAGGGGAGGCAATTTATGAGGTATCGTCTGTTTACGAATGAACACCTGGTACAGTGTGTGTTTGTCTTCCCTCCCCTCTGTCACGACAACTCAATACTGGCGTCTGTAATGTGCGATGAACACCAAGAGCCACGTACGAGAAGGGAATGGGGAGAGGGAGAAAAGATGGAGGGAACGTAGGTGAGTGAATTCTGGATGTTTTTGATTAATTCAACGAACTCCAGAATGCAAACGTGTTCGATCAAGCTCGCGATTTTATAGCTTTGGATTGGAGAAGCACTGGTGGTTATTGTGTTTGTGCACCCTTTTTTACAGCAGTGCAATTTTCCAGCCACGCACTTGTATGAGTGTATGAGATTTTGCCGGTCTTGCACTTCATGGACTCTGTAATCTGGGATTTCGTGGAGTCATCTATATCAAGTGGATCTGGGGTGAGGTCGTTCCGGTCATATCCATCGCCTTGAAAATTGGGTCAGGATTTAAGGCAATTTTAAATTAACGATTTTTCCCCAAGGTAACTGTCACCATACCCTTCTCCGTTCGTACGATCCCTTTTCCAAAAAAAGAATTTCAGGATATTTGCCACAGCTAAAATAGGCTATACTTTGTGAATTTCCACTTGAACAATCTGGAGACAGTTAAAGTTCGCTTTTGATTATGTTTATTTTTAATTCGCCGGTCTTCAACAAAATTTCGTAATCGACTTTATTATAAAGGTCAGGATTTTTATTAGTTTATTATAATCTGATCTACAAATCAAACCTTCTTTAAAATCACAAGTACCTAGCCAAGCTTCAGTTTGGAAAGATAATTGGGAGCCAAAAAGCACTAAGATTTTAAAACTTTGCATGCTATTTGATTTGTTGGATATTTCAAATTATCGCCTTTTTTCATTAGCTATCACACTGTGAGCAGTGACTAGATTTTTCTGCAAAATTGCGGTAACCAGCCATACTCTCAATGAAATTTGCAGATTAAACAGCATTTCTTTAAAGTTTGGTAAATATTTATGTAATAGCAGGATCCGCATTTACTGTTGGCCTGAAGTGAATCCAACACATTACCATGGCTTAAGTAGCTTTCAACAGAGACAAATCAAATCCTCTTTGAGCATCACAATTATCTCTTAATTTAATGACACCTCCATCCGAAATTTGATATGTTAAAGTTGCCAAAATTATAAGCTAATTTGATCTTAGTTGCTCTTGTGTTTGGAACGCTAGACTTTGCCTTATGGTAAACGTGATTCGAATGGCATGGCAAAGCATCTGGCTAATGCAAAACTATCTACTAATCTCCTTATGGAGGACCGCTTTGCACACTGCGTTTTATACTTGGAGATAAACTTAATTACGCTTTAATGCAGATATTAATTGGCAACTGTTCATTCGTAGGTATGAAAATACGTGTTTGCAAGCAGGCGGATAAGTCAGCAGGAGGGCAACTAGAAGCTTTCCTGTCATCATCAAATCTGTGTACTTGACAATATCCGCATGTTTTGATGGTGGTGTTGGTAGTAGCAGTGGTGGTGGTTAATATTGAATACAGCGATTCTCGTCATCAGGACACAGCTGTTGTATCTACCACGTGTCACATATAAGCACAGAAACATATGCACGAAATGCGTTCACCTGGTTACGGGTACTTGATTATTAAGATGTGGTTTCGCCATTACTTCCGTCGTTCCTCTCACTCCCATCACCACCTACTACCGCAGCAACCACCACTTAATACACATGCGCGCGGCCGGCCTATTTTGATTTGAACAAACAACTGTTTTGTCTCCGTAAGGAATTTGTCAAGTCGGTACGGAGGTCGGGGCCCCAGCAACTGCCGGCCGGCATGCACACGCACTTTGACAAATCCACCATTATTAAAGATACTGTCTAGCTTCTGAGGGAATTTCTGCACTTTGTAAAGGCCCAAACTTTTCCGTTTTAAATAGATTTTAAGGCATGACCTGAATCCCACGTTGCGTTATCACGAAAAAATTAATTACGTGTTATCGAATTTCGCTAGGTCATTCTGGGCGTGTGCTTCGTGTCACCTATCTGGGCCGTGTTGGATTGACTTGCGAGGGCAATCTCATAAGCCCATTCAACCCACCTGTGCCCCTAAAATCAGACGCCAATGTTGCGTAGCCGTAAAATTTCGTGTTAATAAATAGCCCACCCCCCTTTCTTTCCTCGTGCACGCTAGTGTGCGTTTATACACGCATGTGCGCACCTGCGCACGTACGGACAAATGCATACATTTACGCATGCGCGGATGCACATGATTAGCCAATTATTGATGAGGAGGAAATCAAGTTAATTCCCCTAGCGAGAACGTGTGCACATGCGCGGAGGTAGCTGATTGGTGTGAATAGAGTAGAACATGCCTTTTAGACTGCACGTCCGGACAAGTGAAGAGCAGTGTCACGATTTCGCCTCCCACTGCCATCCACTCATTTAAAAGCTGTCTTTCCCAACGATTGCCACTTCCGGGTCTAGTAAGTCCTTCGACCTATTTAGCTCCAAATACATATATTGGATTGAATACCCGCCACAATAACCAGCATCTCCACCGTTTAGTAATTTAACTGCGAATCATTAATGCTTTTTCCTACTGTTTTGTAAATTTTACACAACCAAGTCTGTACACATTTTACATTTCTACGTGAACAGCCCTCCTGTGCTTTTAACTTGCTCGCATAAATGTGATGCATGAATAAACAAGCTTTTAATAGACGGGCAGTATCCTACATCCAGAAGGAGTGATATGTTTTTCATTTAAAGCGTTCATTAAAGCCTCAACCTACAGTTTTTTGTGTAGAGTGGTCATTCTTTTGTTTTGTTTTCTATTTTTCCTTTAATTGTAAGTGGTGCGTTGCAGCCAATCTGACAGTTTTGAGAAAGCTCTCTGCATGCTTAAACAACAGCCCCAGAATTGCCGTATCTGCTGAATTGAAACCCTTCTCTATTATGAGTAGACTCAAAAACCTTCATTTCACACACACATTCCAAGTGCCTTCATGCGTATCATTACAAAGGGCGAAATAATATATTACTCCGCCATAATCCAACGCGGGATTGCACGAAACAGCTATTCCAAGTTTTACATATTAGGAATTATATTTTTCCATAAATTTTAATTTGACTTATTTAGCATTTCAAATGCACATCTGATTCCGATGTTAGCACTGACCGGTGCCCATCGGCACCGCTTTTGCCAGTGGAGCAGTTGTTATTAAAGATGTATATCATGGTAACATACATGCATATCATACCCCACTTTGTGTGATCAATTCTGAAGCAATGAGTTGTGAAGCGAATATGGATTAATTGAGGGCAGTAAAGATTAAGCTTGAACCGTTTTATGACCTTATCGGGAAGTCGGCCATATTGGTGTGTTTGTAGATATGATACAGTTGCTGAGGCAACTATTCCATTTGACACGCTAATATTAATCCATAAAATAAGCTCTCCAATAGCTATATCGTTCACATGCGGATGATTGAAGCTTGAAATAGTGGCGTCAATTGACTTTAAACCAAAATTCTTGAACTTAGAGTAGCCCAAGAATGTATCATAAAACTACTAAACCCATACAATCAAAGAATTTTACAAAGAATATCAAGAGTCCACAAGGCGCTTGTAATCAAAAGAAAATGGAACATCACAGCTTAGATGTCGTACTGTTCGACTTTGACATCGATAAATACGGAGAACAAATATTGTAGCCATCTTCATACCACGAACATTCCACATCTATTTTACCGTTGTAAACTCAACCAATCTACTTGAGACAGATTTAGGGTAACCACTTGTCGTACAGGGACAGAGAACACGGTTCTCGTATGCATGACACTGGTAAAGAAAGTTTTGATACCCAGGTAACAGTAGTTGTACGACGCAACGAGTGTGAGCTGAATGTAAGACGACTTTAACACATCAATCATGAAACGCTTTAGTACCGGTTTTGCTCTGTCCTTAGCAGATTTTGTTAAATAAAAGTAAAATTGTAATTTAGGGTGAGAATTTCTATTAATTTTAGTCATTAAATTTTGTCTGAGTTAAACAGTGACTAAATAAATGGACATTTACCGCTTGCGCTAAGTTACTCAAAAAATTGCTTTTCTTGTTTGAACAGCTTGTCAGATGTAAAGGAATATCTGCGTTAGTCTTCATAGTTCTTTAAGATCTAAATTTTTGTGGAATAATCTTACACAGTATAAAATACAATCACATCAGCAGCAGAAGTGAGGGATAAAATATATGCCATGACTTAAGATTTTATTGACACAATCCCTCATGACATTCTATTCGTTGAAGTAATTCTAAGCTTTGCAAAGATAGACGACGGTTCATCGGCCTTTATAGCTTTCTTATGTTTCACTTAAAATGGACATGAAGTGCTCTTGTCATTTCGATATAGCTGGCGCATTTTTGCTATATATATATTTGGATTTTTCATATTTACCACAGTAATGGAGCATGATTTAGTTCTGGTTTGAATGATCACAGAAAATAATGAGAAACTAACTGGAAATTATTTTATTGTCAGTCGGGGTCGACTTAAAACGCATTCAAAGCAATGCTCTATATGCAACACACTCTTTCTCCCCTTTCTTTCAAATGCATCAGTGGTATGGTTTTTACGAGGCGTTCATTACATATGCACGCTTGTATTCAGGTCATATCACCAGGCGCGGAGCTGAACGGTCAATAAAAGGCGGTCGTGCTAGCGCAATAATAACTTACTTACTAATATCAGGCGATATTGCGCATCAATAAGATGGGGTCAGGCTTACGGTCGTATCGCCTGGTCGAAAATTGCGCACAAGGCCTGAAACATTACATCTTCATGGGCAGGAGGCAGTTAGGTAGTCGGACAGGCGAGTGCGTGCACACGCACGCACGCAAGGGCACACATGTGCACGCGGGGCTTTTAACTGAATTATTACTATGACCTTTAGAAACGGGAACACTACAGGGACCGCCCATTTGCTTTTACTGGCGCGTGAAGGGTGTGTGGCAACAGTGGTGTAGCAGCGGTGAGGATTACCAGTTGTTCGGCCTGTAATATAGTTTCTAGAACAGAAAACCGCACAGACCAATTAGACGCTAGTTAGTACGGATGACATCTAACAACTACCAGCAGTATTAAAACGCGCTGTTCCAAACAAATTATATTTCTTCGAAATGCGTATAAAAGTACAACAAAGCGACAAAAAAGTGGCCTCACTACTCAAATTTGCCCAATTTAATTTCTCAAGAGCTTCAAACATAGCCGCTAACTCGTGCGTTTAACTAGGTTATTTGTTCCTCTAAATATGCATGAGACGTTTGGAAGCCCATACAACCAACATAAGATTTCGTATACAGCTTTTGATAAACGCATTTACCCCTTAAATTCGGTTTTTTCTGAAGCGAAATCTGTGAGTTCTGTCAAACAAACTTACATGGATTCGTTACAAAGATGGAGCTACATCTTCTAAATGGTAGCATGATCTTTTTTGCATTTCGGACTAGGTCTGGCCCTTTAAATCGTTGTCTACCATTCTCGCATTGATCACAAATGTTAGTCAACACTAAAATAGCTCTTAGGCTTGATATATTGGTGCCTGTGATGTCTTTATAAGACTTTGCTTTTCTGATGAGGTTTCTGAAATATTTAGATCAACTTTGGTCAAAGATGTACAAACACAAATTTGAAGAGATTATTTAGTGATCACTGAAAACAAATAACAGTTGCACAAAATAAGTCTGCGAAGGATTCGCCTCATTAACAAAAGTTACACAAAAAATAAAAGTTTTTCCTTTTAACAAACTCTTCCAATAATTTTCAGGGCATCGAAATATACTTCCTTGGATTTACCGATCACAGCTATTTTATTTAGTAGCCTTACAAGATAAGTACATTCATTCTAGTGCACATCCTAGTTGTAATGAGCATTTTTTTGTGAAAAGTTTTCCAACCATTTGCAATCCTACCTTCTTCACGTGAGTTTATAAAATAAGATATAGGCCGTGGTGTTTTCATAAAAGGGGAAAGGGGAAACGAAAAGCCTAATTTTTAATTATGTTGGCGGCCTGTTGTGATGAGGATGAAATTTTAGTTTCTGGCAAGGGCGCAGTGCCCTTTTCTCATATCCAAAGCCATAGTTTACAAAAACACAAAGACTTTTCTCACCTCCTCAGGGGAGTAGAAATAATCTTTGATGAAAATCATCAACTCCACCTCTGTGAAAGCTGCAAAAGGTAAAGGTATGCATTCCGCCTTGTTCTTTTTAAACCGCCTTCTATTGGCCAACGCAAAAGACTAATTTAGCCTTGCAAATCCAAGTTGACATGGGAAATGGCCCACAGGATTGAAATTCACCCCTTTCCAGATTCTAAAGGATATCCTAAATGAGAATGCTTGGAGTGAGTGCGTGGGAATTTTACTAATAAAGCCAAAATCTTCCAACGTAATACAAGCTTCAGAGCCCTCTATTGCCTTCTAGAAGTTATAATGGCCGGATCGCCTGTTCGAGCACCGCTTCCAAACCTGCTTTTTCCACAATCTGGAGATAAGAGCCCGCCGATAACAGGAAGTGGGGCTCATAATTCCAGTCCCATTCTTTCTGACATGGTGACGGGTTCTCCAACCTATCCGCGCTTTGCTGAAGGACCCTTCTGTGCTAGCAATGTGCGTTCAGCATCTCCACAGCCACCGGCGAAGAAGCGGTGTCTAGAGCCAAAACAACACTCTACCTCAGGAGAGGGAGAAGGCCTCACAGCACCATCTCAACCAACGCACGAATGTAGCAGCGATTCGCTGTGCACTAGTGCCAGCAGTTTTTCGTCTAAGGGAGTAAGTGATTTTAAACCTGAGCATGATTGCAGGATTTTGATTCACAAAACTTGAAAGAATGTGTACGCGCTTAGAACCGTTTGCCAGAAACCATTAATTTTAAACTAAAAAGAAGGTAACTAAACAAAGCGATGCGGGAAAAGTGGGAGAGGGGAAATAGGCGAAGAAGAAAGAGAAAAGCAATCAGCACAAAAGAAAGTGCATTCACTTCTTCGAGCTAATATCCTGCATTTTGCGTATATGTATGCCCGTTTGCGCAGATGTCATAGAGGCATTGTGAATCTTACAAAAACAAATGCACACACCAAAGCGCGGTGCTTTTCACCACATCCATGTACAAACATTTGTATTGAAATAACACAATGATGGATGTGATATCGAAGATGGTGAATGTCCCTAAATCCACTGCCGCCACCATCATGCCTGTCACTGGTGATGTGCAAGTAACAGCAATTCGAAAATTCCTTCTTTAATTGTTTGATATAATGCAAAATTTTCATGTACAGCCAAATCGGGGAGTGTGACAAAAACTGTGAATATTGAGGAGGTGGCACTGGTGCTCATTGGGTTTACATTCCTTCAAACTGGCAAATTCTTCACCACCACAAGCACTTTTTCTGCACCTCTAGTAATTGGAATAATTTGCCAGTGCTGACACCTCTCAAGCAAACGACTAGAGCAACTTCACATTTGCCAAATCCCTCCAGACAACAGTCAGGTCAAAAGCATTGGTGGAAGTCAGTGTCAATTGTTTCAAACATGATTTTTAAATTAGGTGCTAGTGTTAAAGTAAGTCAAGATATGACTAATTGCTGGCATACATAGTATCTCGTCAAAACAAGGAGGTTTACAACCCAATGAGTGATATTGCTTATCTCTCCATTCACAAAAAGACAGCTTGTTAGTGCCCTTCGAAGTTGGCCACACAGCATTGATATAAATGGTCAGTCAAATGAACTTGTAACTTAAGTAATGATGATTTAAATAGGTTAAAGGAAAATGGTAAATCAAATAGATGGGGGTATCAGTAAACAGGTAATAATTATATCAATTAGTATGATCAGTAGGTGACAGATTAACAGTCAACTGTGCTGAATAAGACTGACCGATAAATAAGAAACAGTTGTGTTATTACGTATAACCTTACTTAAATGCATACATCCTACTAAATACCTTAGGAAAAATATTAGATCCTAGTAGACACGAACAACTGTTATGCAATGTTGAGACAGTAGCAACATATGTCTGATTGATGATAATCCGGGCACAGCTGTTGATATGCATCAGTACGGCTGTCCAATCCTGGAACCCAATTAACGGCTCTTTCTACGAGGTTTTCCCAACATACCCTCATGAGGTCATTAATTTAATCCGGTATCAATTTGTGGATTAGAGAACAACTTGCAGCCACTGTCTTACTTCCTTTCAGGACCAGCAACCTCAGCTACCGCAACCACTGCCACCTCGGATTAAAAATGGAGCGGAAGAGTCGCCTTCCTCAAAACCGCAGCAACCACCACAACAGCAACAGGAGTCAGAGTCGTCCAAGGACCTGCCACACTATCCACCACTGCCTCTGTGGGGAGACGTTGTTCCCGATTCCGCGAACTCCCGTATCGCCATGTTGCCGAAAAATTTCCCACCACTATTTCCTTCTGGTCGCGCTGCTGCAGTCACTCCAAGTATGCCTGCAATCACAACAACTACCAATAGTGATCCAGTACCTCTTGGTGCTAGCGCGTTGGCAGCAGCAGCTGCTATGGCGATAAATCCTTTATTTCAACAGTCTTCAGGAGGTGGCCTCGTACCTGGAAGCACAGCTTCTCCTTGGAACCCAATGCTGGCAGCAGCTGCAGCAGCATTTGCCTCTGGAGGGTTTCAACCACCAGGTTTACCTTCAAGACTTCAAGGAGATGCTGAAGGACCAGAGGAAAAAGATGGCGGTTCTTCCTCGAGGTCAGGAAGTCCTATGCTCCTTTCGGGTGCTGGGTCTTCCGTTGAAGGGGTGGAAGTAATGCCAGATGCAAGTCAGGCTGGACATCACTGGACATTCCAAGAGCAGTTCAAGCAGGTGAGATTTCATAAAGTGTCCACTGTGTTGGTTAAAATGAGATGCTATTTCTTTCAGCACAGAGGTCAATATATAATTGTTGTATTATTAAACAGGATCATCAAAGATAGGTGAATAATCAGGCAATTGCCCTTCTTAGCTACTGCTGAAAAAGAGTCAAATGCTCCCATAGGATTGATCAACTCAGCAACGGACGGTTTAACATACTCCCGATAAATTATGCAGATTGTGCCTAGAGGTGTTGCAAAAAGACTGCCATACGGATGATTGCATTCAAGTCGTTCTCCTGGGACGACAACTCAGACTGTGTGTTTACGCTAGATGATAATTTCCAACCTAAAGGTAATGCATTTTCGGTATTGGTGGTGGCGATGGATGTACCAACAATAGTAGATGAAGTAGGGATCTACTTAAAGCATAAAAAATTTAACAGGTTTTATGCTGCACTGCTTCTCGTAGTCACTGGAGTTTTTGATCAGTTTTCTCTGATAATCTGGTCTGTCGCTGCAGTTCAGACGTGATAGAGTTAGAATTCAGGGCTACTAATTTTTATGCTGATATAACAGGAATATTTGATCACCCTAAATACCAAGTCATTTAAGGTCAAGCACACAGGGATAATAAACACAATGGTTTATTCAATTCTGCGAACATCTAATGAGGAAAAGGAATGATTCAGGGGTAAAAAATCCTCCTCTCAATGCACTTTCTTCTGAATTCCAATTATCGTCTGAAATCAACACATATGCATTCCGAAATCCCTGAGGAATTGATCGTACATTATTTAACGGAGGGAAGTGAGTTTCCTTCACCAGGCATCCCGAGATTATTTTCGCACTTGACTTAATTGAATACATCTCTTCACCATGGCAGAATTAATTTTTCGTGGGGGAGGGGGAGGTAGTGGACAGGCGCGTACCCCAGGCCACGCACATACACGCACGCCCCCTAGGGAATACCGCATGCACCCGATTGAAATATTTATCTCTCCCCCTCCCCTTCTCTCGAGGCAAATATCAACCAAGCAGTCACTCAATTTATTCCTGACCTGGGTCTAGTTGAAGCCATCTGAATCCTCGTACAATCGTTAGCATTCAGATCTTCTGGATCCATCTGTACTTTAAGAAGAGGTGTGACTTCGTGTAGCCTATGCAGTTACATTTTTGTTTCAGCTGTACGAACTATCCTCAGACCCCAAGAGGAAGGAGTTCCTGGACGATTTGTTCAATTTCATGCAAAAAAGAGGTATGTGTACCCATTTTTGGTGTAAAAGACCACTCGCGCAATTGGTGTGCTAATTAGCCAACGAAATTGTCTTCCATCATCAGCGCCGGTAGTTAATGAGAAAATCAGGCGCGACGTGTTAAGTTCACAAATGAGATTTCCCCTACCGAATTGTATCTCTCTGTATGTGTGTGTGCACGACCAAAATAATGTTAATCATTTCATGCATGGCATCGCTCTCCCCTTGCAATCGGGCATAATTAGGCAGCATAATTAACAAACTAACAGTCATGCAAGCTATTCAACTTCGAAAATTCAAAAAGTTCTGTCCTTTCGTTAGTTTATTTTAGCATGTATGAAATTAATATGTATCGTAAGTTGAAGTGGAGGCTTTTGTTAGAAAAGAAGGTCGTTTAAATTCACTTAAACTCTAGAATTTGAGAACTTGTTTAAGTGCACAAAATAAATGAATGAATAAATGTGCCTTCTATTTTTAGGCTCACCCGTCAACCGAATTCCAATAATGGCGAAGCAGGTGCTCGATTTGTACGAGTTGTATAGGCTTGTGGTGACTAGAGGCGGTCTAGTTGAGGTCATTAACAAGAAACTCTGGCGTGAAATAACGAAGGGCCTTCAGTTACCCTCTTCCATTACCAGTGCTGCATTTACGTTGAGAACACAGTGAGTTGCTATGTTTATTCGTCTTTTTTCAAGCTGAAAGTATGGTGTCCACCGAGTGATTTTGTGCTCCCTATGTTCCAACACAAGAAGGGAGTGATAACATTAAATGAAATGTGTGGGCAAAAGGGCGAATTTGACTCAACCACTCCATCCGCAACTGCAGCTCTCACTCACTTCGTGGTTAATTATCTCCATGGCACGACAGCTGTTGCGGTCATGTCAAAAAATTTGCGTGTGTGGCAGCAGGGAAATACGAATTCCACGAAACTATTTTCACTCTTCCCCCTTCCCTTCCCCTGCCTTTCCTCTTGACCCCTCCCACCATCCCACCTGGATACACATGCACACATGCGCGCACGCAGCGGGCAATCTTCATCATCTAATAGGCTAATAAATGTGGACGCACGCATACATACTCCTCTATCGAGAGATGAATCAAATTTGCTCATTGGATGTTTGTTAACTGGTTGGGAGAGAAAAACTCACTCATTTGGGATTAAAGGGGGAAGGTTCGGATCATATCGTCCAATCAGTATTTGGGGGGGGGGGGGTGAAACTAATCCACCTCAGCCAGTGAGACCTATCAGTCGGATTCTCGGGTTTTCCAGAACTTGTTCAAAAACAGAAGTGCTGAACTGTTTCACTGATATCAATGGCGGTTTAGAGTGTTTTACATTTAGATGGGATCTATATACATTTTAATGCTATATAGTTAGCTAAGTACATAAGATTTCAAACTTATAAGCTTCAGGATTGCGACGGAATAATATAAATTGCAGAAACTTAGGATAGGTAAGAAGTTAGAATGGAATTTTACCCATTGATCATGTAACTAAAGCTGTCAATTTGGAAAGCATTATTTGTAAATTCCAATGTCACATTGCAATGGTCAACTTACTTCACGGTTTTCAAGCGTCAAACTTTTGATACCCTTGGCATCTGTGACGCGCAAGCTGACAGTCGGTGTGGCCGAAAACTGTGAAATTGAACACGAACTTTTCAACACGAGTAGGGCTTAACGGAAGCCCATCCGGGAGTAGAATTTAACTCGGTGGTGACTCATGATAGCTTGGTGCAGGAAGTAACAGGTAGAATGTTTGCGGCAGCAAAAGTTACAAACAGTTGTGTGGCACAGCTGTTGTTTTCGTGCCCACACATTAAATTCAATTATTATTAACCACAGTTAGGGCTAACCACTACTGAGTCACTGATACAAACAGTTGTGTGCGTTATTAAACCCTTAGGTACATGAAATACCTCTATCCCTACGAGTATGAAAAACTGGCGCTCAGCACTCCGAGTGAACTGCAGGCCGCAATTGATGGAAATCGACGGGAGGCGAGGCGCTCCTCGTACAGCTTCGAGTATCCTATGCTCATGGGTCCCAGTTCGAGCGCAGGTGCACAATCTGGCACCGCGGGACAGCCGCTGTCCAACACGTCACTTGGAGCCACATTCTCCCATCCACCTCCTCCTCACCATTCCCTCCTCGCACCTCCGCCCCCCCCACCGCCACCACCTAATGTCTCCGCCTCCTGCGGCCCGTCGCTTTTACCTTCAGGCCTACTTCTCCCCCCAGGATTCCCCACACCGAATTCGGGAAGAAATGGAAGCATATTCCCCGATACACACTTCTTTGGTTTTCCTAGTTTGGTGGTACCAACCTCGACAACGGTTGTTCGTCCACCAACTCCCACTCCCCCAGCTGCATTTGATGCTAAGTCCTACTTCGATGACGATCAATTAGTAGTAAATTTAAACGCTGCTAAAATGCTTAAGCAGACGTAATCGTAATTTAAACATGAAGTGACTTTGACTTGCTATAGAAACAGAAAAGATCAAAATACCCTCAGCGGTGTTTGTCTTCATCGTCAACTACCATGGTGACGGCTGCCGCAAGTCCCAAGCCGCGGCCTAACTCCAAGCCCAATTACTCATCTCCCGCAACTCTCGAATCTGATCTGAAGAGCGAGGGTATGTCTTAAAATCACCCTTGTTTAAATAAAAATTGATTCCAAGAAAGTGTGAATTGGAATGCCTATTCAAATAGCCAACCGCTACTTAAAGCCTATGAAGTTATCCACTCTTCCGAAGTGTACATCAGCCTTCGATTTAGACCAACGACACTCGCCACAAGAAACTCCATCGCCACGTCTTCCGACCAACGTGGAAGTGCCAGATAAAAGTCAACAAAGTGCTGCAACCCAATTTTCTGAGTTCCTGAAACAACGTTTGCCACTTAATGATGTAGGAACTACGTCGAATTGCAACTTCTCAAGGAGTGATCTAATGCAAGTGAGTTTTCTGATTCTTTGGAACAGTATTCTACTTATTTAATGTTAGTAGCGCGTTGGTAAAGATAGCGGAAGGGCAGTGGACGGATTCAAGTCGAACTAAGGGAAACCATTTCAGAATATAACCCACTTAAACACTTATGAAAGATAGGAAATGATAAGCTGTTCTGCAATTTCAAAACCACACTGGAGTCTCATCACGTAATGGTTCCAAAATATATTTTTTAATAAATGGCAATGAATAAAACGTAAAATATTAGCATTGCAGCAAAGCGCTGTTGGTTACTAACTAGTTCATTTAGGTAGGGTAAGAAATTTCTGTTTCGATGGTATCTGGTTGATGTATTTGATTTCGTTGATAGACTTAGGCGTTGTGACGACTGTCCAAAGAGGCCATCTTCTCCTGAATCCATGGTGATGTAAATGGCAGGATCAACGCAGTGCCGATTGCGATCAATTAGTGAACTAATGAATGATCAGTTGTGAAACTATGCTCCTGCTTAATAATGTAGATCTGAAGTTTTAGCAAATATGCTCCAAGTATCATCATTGCAATAGGAAGGCTCATTTCTACGCAGTATGCAAACATTACGTATTATTTAGCAGGTTAACCATTAAATGCAATTAGCTTTCATTTTCAAGAATAAAGCATGCCCAAGTTAATCTAAACTAAGTTGATAAAGACTAGACCACAATTTTGAGATTTGTTTACCATGTACTTGATTATCATGATTAATTATATCCGGACCTGACATTTTCGCTGCAGAGTAACTCTTATTCACAAATAGTCACAATGATTTGAGCAAACTTTCCAAGTATAAATCCACAATAATAAAGTTGTTTAGGGTAACCTATAACATCCCGTTTTGGCCTACTACTTTGTGGTGATAAATAATTATTGAAATGGAATAATTCATGAGAAATATGTGATAGCAAAATACGGAATGGGCAAAATTGTCGGAGCTATTGATAGACGATATAGAAACGACAACATGATAGACTAAAGTGCCCCGTATGCATCGGTGGTGGACCTATTTGACAACGAATCAAATAAGAATATGTCCTTTTTCCACTTTATATTCAGCCGCTCGCCTTAACTATCCCTATGCAGAACGCCTACCAGCAATTCATGAGCAGTACCGTTCAGAAGTTGGGGCTCGCAGAGAAGAAGGACTCGATGAACGGCTGTGTGGAGGATCGTCGACAGGCGAAGCCAACTGCAACTCCTCGAGAGAATGGCGATTTTCCGGCATCCAATATTCAATTGGCACCGAACCTAAGGATTAGCACCCAAGCTGGTGAGTTCACTTTTGAATTTGTGGATTGAATGAGTCAGCCAATGGGAATTATTAAATGCTTGCACCTTTACACTTCAAAGGCGATCAACTTGGACTGCCGGAAAACACATTAGTCGTGTGCATGGAGGTCAATGGCGTAGTCTATCAAGGCGTCCTTTTTGGCCGAATCAAACCGCTTTCGTGAAAACCCTGCTTACTCACTTCAGGAGTGTGCGAGCCTACTTGTACAAAATACTCTACTAGCCCCCTTACCATTGCAATACGTAACAATCTGTTAAGTCTTTGTTTTTTTACATAACTTACTCACTCGAGCTCTCAAAGCTAATATAAGCATATTCCTGCCCAGACCTCTTCGATTTGCTTACCCTTTATTAGGGGCTTGAAAAAAAATTGTAGAATTATTTAATTATTATTTATTATTATTTAATCTCGTAAATATTTTCAAGCCTAGTGGCTAAGAAAATCATTTCGATGATAATACTAATAACCCATAAACAGTAGCATGAGATTGGTTTGGCTAAAAGTGTGGAAAATGTTTGAAACTGATAATGTGGTTAACCATTCTATTAATTAAGGATGCATTTTAGATGGAAGGCGGAAGTTTATATGCATGATTGTCTCTCGTTATTCGTATACCTATGAAAGAAATGTTACTGTATGTACACTAAATTTCCTGCTTCAACTCATCCAATCTATCTTGATCTTTTGAGGGGCTTTAAATTCTCGGACAAGGGATTGCGGTTTTCGGAGTTAGCTTAATTTCATTAATATTGTAAATAGCTAGTGGAATGTTAAAGTGTATTTAAGAACGTCTGAAATCAAATCAAGCTAACGTCGATTCTTACAGATTAATTTCGATTCGTAAAGTTCGACCTAACTACCTCATTTCTCGTAAATTTATTTAGCATATTGGCAAGTATTAGGAGCCATGTCCTCCACAAACTCATTCCTCTAATTTAAGTTGCTAGCTCGTATAGCTCATACTGAGTGGATCATACTTTTAAAACAGTTGTATCAGAAGTTCGATGCGACTATTATTGAGCCAGTGGGGAGCAGACTTTGCTGAAGAAGAAAGAAAACACAATACTCGGACAGAATGCGTGCTATTGGCGTACAGTACGGGTTGAGATTACTGGCTCGGCCTAAAGGCCAGGCCGCCCGGCGGAGGTGCAATTACGGGTCTCCTGAGTACCCCGTCACCAAAACCGAGACCTAATCAAACAAACCTCATATTACATAGCCCATCGCCTCTTTTTAGCGTCGCTCCCGACACTCCCCTTGATCAACTTCCCGTGTCAGCCATCACAACGTAAATGTTGTTGCGGGAAAAACACCCAAGAACTAACCGTACCATTTGTCAAACTGCCTCGCTATTGAAAAGTTATCAGACAGCAACGTCACTGATCTCTCATGGCAATTCTACTGGATCTGGAGTTTTATCCTGCATCAGAATTGTATTGGAGGGACGAAAAATGTGCTGGCCATCACGCGTTTCCATAGCTAGTCATGGGAACATAGGCATAAAGGAACTTTATTCTCACTTCAGAGCTGTTCAGCTATATCTATCTGGGTCCCATCTAGCTAGTAGAGAAGTGATTGAGGTATCGCATGTTCATATAATTGATGTCCCTACACAAGTACGGCAAACGGTTCTTTAACAAATCAATCCACATGGTTCACGGCTGATGTCGCTTCAGTTGTTGATAGCTTTCCTGAAGAATACGGGACCGGGGCAGTTGTTGAAGCTAGACGTCATGTCCAACCCCTCTGTTAGAGGTCGTCACAGATTCTCCCAACTACAGCATATGCACAAGATCAATCGCTCAGGAATAGGAAATAGAATAAACGTCCTATAAGATCGAGTTCACTTTCCGCTACCACCAATGTGGCACCCCGAGACTTCCCTGAAGATGAAAGATAATACCTGCGCAGAATGCATTGTCGGTGCCCAGTAGGGATTGGGGCTGCTGGCACGGTCCAAAAGCCAGGCCACCCAGCGAAGGTGCAATGCTGGAGCCTCTATGTGGCCTGTTACCGAAATTGAGAGTTAAACAGACAATTAAAGTACTACACAGATTGACGAACCCAACGTGCAATCTATATCACATCGGTGCAAGATATTTCGACTTACATTAAGATTTGTAATATCCAAGATACATGCTTGAATTACCAATTTTCTGGTACAACATCCTTCTTACAATCGCTTTGAAAAGCATCATAAGGCTATGTTTTCACTCAATTTTATTCCCTATAAAATTATTCAACGGACGTGAAATGGATTGCTGGGAACTTTCATTCCATAATTGCACATTGAATCTATCAAAAGAGGCACAGGATTGTGGCGCAAGAGAAAAGAATGTTTCCAAACAGCAGATGCGAAAGCACAGGAGAAAGGAAGCTGAAAAGGCAAAAAGTAGCTAATTAATAACCGATCAGCGTTGCCGCTACAGAGAAGTCGTTTTAGACACCACCACCGCTTCTGGAGACTGGGATCGTGGGACGGTTGAGGACGCTCTTCAGTGTGTGATGTGGAACAGCTCCGGTCTTCAGGGAGCTCATAAACTACGAAAGAAAGGATAGGTTAAGAAAATGTCGTTAACATTTGACGCTGAACACGACAACTTGTTTTTACGTAAAAAAGAATGGGAATTGAGTAGAAAAAGACGAATTCAATACACAACAGTAAGCATTAGAATTTTAAGGTAATGATCCAAAGTATCGCCATTGGAGATATTTTGAATAAAAAGTACATGAAGAAATGTATGAATTTGTGCATAAACAAAACAAACATTGCATCCATACTAGAATAAATAGTGGGTCATAAAAAAAACCACTTTTATCCGAAGTGACACACCACGTTTGCCGTGACAAAATCAGCACAAAAACACAAGGGATCGTATAAAGACAGGAGTTACCTCAAGAAATTCGACTTGGTCGATTTCGCCATTTCGATCCAAATCGAGGTCAGAGAGGATACTTTCCAAGGTATTGTTGCTTACACTCTCACCTTGTTTCTAAAACAAAAAAAAACAAATAAATGCATTGCATATAATTAACGTTACTATACTACGTAGGAATGTTAGTTCTTTGGTGAGAAAAAGCACGTTTTTGGAATGTATGGAAGACTGCTGGTCCTCAGTTTGGCTCAAAACATGCAGATAATTGATTAAACGAATTTTCTTTTCAAATTACTTTCATTTTTAATACATAAACAATGCACAAGAGTGCCTTCTAGTGAGTTCAGTCTGAAATTTTCTCCAATTGATCAAGCCCCAAAATGAGCTTGCCTGAGTTACTTTTATGTAAATTAGGAAAATTGGCGTTTCGATGACAAGCTAATGTTCTGTTTTGGGAATTATGGATGTAAAGCATCGGGGAAGTTCTGTTTTACAGGAACATCAAATTGAACAAGACGCCAAGAGTATGAAGCTAAAAAATTCATGAAATCCATTTTATGATAATGGAAACATCAAAGATATTTAAAACATTGACATTCAGTGCAATTCAGAGTTAATGCAGTACTACGCGACCCATAGCGCCTACTGTTATTTTGGGTAGAAAGTACATATCGGGGATGGTAAACCAGGAGAACGCGCTATTCCTCATAAGTACCGCGAAAAATTTGTGGAGATCGTTCAAGGTGATGTAGCCCTTGCCATCGACATCAATGGAGCTAAACTGCTTTCTGATATTCTCTACTTCCTCGGGGGAAAAGTTGGCAGGAACTGTCTTGGTGCGTTTCATGGCAAGGCCCATCTCCGTTTTGAGGAATTTCTACGCAACACAGGGAAAAAATAAATAGTAACGTGCCAAAAAACTTCAGATGAATGGTAAACGGTTTCTACCATTGCGACCTCAAACTCCTTCTTCTTGCGCAGCGGGCACCAGTTGAGCTCTGCAGCCATCAGATCGATTAATTTGGGCAGGACCTCCTCGGCAGCCCTGACATCCAGGAAGGCCAGACGCGTCCTTCTTGCGAGAAAATCAATGGCATTGCAGGCATACTCGCGACATGCCTCTGTGACCTTGAGGTAAAGATGGTAAAATTGATTATAATAGTATGATTTCTCACTAGACTGGCAACGATTAGAGTCCGTTAGTAAAAATGACTGGTTTTGCGTTTTTTGAATGGGAAGTTCAAGTGTCAGAGTTACTTCACTTGATCTATGTGCATGTAATAAGTCCACTTTGTAATGTTGATCCAAAAGTGATTGCAATTTTTTATCGGTTTGTTGTAATTCATTTATTCAATACAAATGCATATTTCTTCGCCAATTTACTGATTTTCTAGGTATAATAGGACAACCAATAACACGCTTTTTACGCACTGCATTTATCAATCGAAACATTTGTGAAGACAACTTAACATAGGCGATCAAAGAAGACATTTTAAGATTTATAGCCCTGGCTGACAATAAATGAATGAACTAAAGAATCTACTCTCCCGTGATGAGCGCACTTTATTATACTCTGGATCTTAACAATCTATTCAAAAAGATGAATTTAAACATGGTCATTCCTCGGAGGTTTCGAAAGGAAGTGTTTTTGCCAAAACAGTGCATCCCAGTGCCTCAGAAAGTTTTATTGTAAGATCTCACCGTTGAAGATGGCACAGGGAGGTGAATCTACACAACCAATGCTACATTTTTAGGAATAGGAAAGCGGTATTTGAAGTTCAACGAAAATATAGACTTTTACTAATGACAGCTTTCTTAGATCTGCGTGACATTTAAAAGTATAAATTCTTGCTGTAGGATTTGGAAAATTTTTGCGTAGCTCTTGCTAAGTTCACAAAGTTTCTAGAACAAATTCAAAGAAAAATGGCCTCCAAATCGCAGCATTTACCTAATATGGTAGCGTCTGATTTATTGTAATTTTCTTACTGAAATACAATCTTCATCGTCATCTGTTTAGGTCCATTAATAAGACGAAAAATACTACTTCAACTTCTTAAAATACTTGCTATGCCTTCATTCGTAACTCTTCTACGACTGACCTCAGCTTCAATGATGGGGAAGTTGGGATGAAGCCGGCGTCCTGCTAGAGGGTAGCGACGACCGGTAAGTTTGGCCTGTTGAGCAACTTTGACAGCGTGACCGCCGTAGGTCGAGGCAAGGTGGATGGCCACATCACGATCAATGCCGTACTCCTGGGACAGTTGAATGAAGAGATTGGGCGACCATCCATGCGCACCGTTTAGGCGCAAGCCCACAGTGCGACACTTGGACTTCGGTTTGAGACCGCATACCTGTAGACAAAGAGGGACACATGCGTGACCTCTCTGTGCATGAATAAGACTTACAGATTGGGTAGTCTTCTTGACGTTATAGTTTGGAAAATACGGAGATATTCAGTCTATTATCTCTCTCAATACACTTAAATGAATAACTACAAAAACTCCTAATCACCAGAGCAAGAAGACCACATGATATCGGTGTCTCTGCTCATTGAAAATCGGTGATGAATTGGTAAGAAAATTAACCTTACCAACTGAATTTTATGATGAATAAAATGAGTAATTGATGGGGGGCTCGGGGATGCATTTATTAATGACACGATTTGGTAGTCGATTACCGAATTAGATGCCGAGATCTCATGATTACATTCAATCAAATGGATAAGAAAAACTAGTGATTCAACAGAGAAGCATGGATGCCAATATCGATCGCAAAGACTAAAAGTGGGACCGAGGAATACGTGACCGTCAGAAATTTAATAAATTCAACCTCTGAATACTTCTAATCACTATCTGTTTTAACGCACGCTGGAGCTGCATCACCGTCTCCACCGTATTAAGCTAAAACAAAGTACCTATTATAACGAGTCAGACTACGGTAGAATTTATGGCTCACAAATCAAATGAAACAGTCGTGTGAGTCTATTAGCTAAACACAATAAAGTAAGTCATTAAAAATGTACCATGACAACAGTAGGTCCTAATTAAATGTCGTAGTTTGAGTACGTTCCATTAATCTGTTATTACACCTTCACGTATTCTCCACACCAAACCGCTGTTTATGCATGGAAAGTGGCATTAAAAAAACACCCTGTACTGCAACAGGCTGTAAAGTGAAATAAACGGTACATTATAGACTCCGAACACGTATTAAATAATGAGGGTAAAGATTCAGCCTTGACAACCTACACACCTTTTCCATACAGACGTAAAATGTAAGAAAATAATAGGCAAAGTAAATTCAAACAATAAAGTTGCGAAGATGTTCCACCTTAACACATTCATCCACCGTCTCCTCAGCCATTTTACGGTACGTAGTCCACTTGCCACCAGCAATTGTGACGAGGTTGTTCTCGCCCACCGTGATAACGTGATTCCGCGCAATTGATTGCGTGTCCTTAGAGTTTGGATCGGACACCAGTGGACGAATACCCGACCACACGGAGAGCACATCACCCCGTCGAACTATCGAGAGTACCAAAAATTGTTGCTCCACCAAACACTTTAATTAAAAGTGGCGAATCCAAACAGTCACGCCCACCTTTAAGATCAGGAGATAGGTAGCTTTTGATCTCCGAGAGAATGAATTGGACATCATCGTCTGTGGGTTCAGGTGAAGTGGCCAGTTTGCAAGAATGATCCGTAGTTCCGGCTACAACGTGGCCGAGCCAAGGCAGGAAGAAAATGACACGTCCATCAGTGGTAGATGGATCCAGTAGACCCATATTCTCGGGGCTAAAGTGGCACAATAAAACGTCAGCTAACTGCTCATGATACGCAGCATTTTGGGAGTCCCCAAAGCGCACCTGTAGTAGTTAGGAAGGACAATGTGAACGCCTGAGCTGGGCTGACAGATGGGATCCAGTTTGTTGTTCTCCATTTTTCGAATTTCGTCGGTGAAGGGGCCGGTAGCATTAACGACACAGCGAGCGCGAACGACAAATTCCTTGCCTGAAAGAAGATCGCGCAGGCGAGCACCGTTTACGACTAGCTTTGGTTTCCCAGAGACATCTTTCTGCTTTGGGTCTTCGCTCGGACCCTTGAGCAGTTCCAAGACCTCCACGTAGTTGGCAATGGCGGCGCCGTATCGACTGGCTGTGAAGGCGACGTCTAGACACATGCGTGCATCATCGTGCTGACCTGAGCGGGGTCACAAGGGATATCAAAGTTTAGTTAATCCAGAATTAAAAAAACTACATATTTAGAAACCCTAAATAAATAGACATACCCTTTAAAACCCATTGCGTTAATAACTAGTGCAATCACAAGCGAAAATACACGGAATAATTGTGCCATGAATGAAAATTAACAAAAATTCTAACCCAATAATGCTTACTTATAGATTATGAATTAGTTAACCTAATAAAAGTGAATAGTGAGAACAGTAAATAACCTCAAAGAATGGCAGTAGTTACCTCACAATCGAGCATATATTTTATGTCCTAAATTCAAGCGCTAGACCAACTATCCTCACAAGGTTCCATCAGCGAAAAAAAAACAGTCGAACACCCCGATTTAAAGCGTCACCTTAAAATGCATGCTGTTTACACTACACTAACGACCACATCAAAGTGTTATATCCTTTCTTTCACGGGTAGCGAGGCGCCGCGACGTAGCGGCTGCGTCACCATCGAAAGAAAATAAACGTCACGTCGACTCACCATCGTAATAAACGAGAGCACCTTTCAGTTTTTCATTTTTCAGGTGGGGAAATATCTCCATAGAGCGTGATTTGTTAAGGAAGTAGCTTGACTTGAGAATTTGGGTGCCGGAGACCAGATCGTACATTTTTATGCCCAGCCAGTAATAGGGCACCTGCCACCATCTATATAACAGAGAAGACTGCGCTCTTGTCTTATGCCTCACTTTGCATGTTAAACTTTAAAGTAATTTTCAACTAAAGACTGTGCGAAAGATAGGTCGAATTTCACCATCATACAGGATTATTCATATGGCACATGTTGCGACGGCTTCTTGCATACATGCCAAGTGACTTGTAAGGCGTCCGTAACTAACGGCGTGTCCTCTAATCTTGTATACGTATATAGAATGCGGGATTACCTGCTGATTTTCATTTACACTAAATAACAGCTAATTTTGCTCTTTCACAAGTATCATTCTTAACTGGACATGAACCATTAAAACCAAAGTCCACTGTTTAAGAGATTTGAGCTTTTATCCCTTTGAAAGGAGACACAAAAGTCCACTAGGACTTTTGGACTTTTACGCATCCTCGTTTGTGCTCATTTAATATCCAAATTTATGTTTAGTGATTTCAATGAAAACTTAAACTGAGAGGTTTGTCTTTAAATTCTCAGCTAAAAAGTGTCTTCTATTCGAACCTATTAAAAATTGCCTGTAATTTTAAAAAAAGAGAGGTGAAATGTGTGCAAAGTGCATAAATAATAACTGCGTGCATATTATGATAGGGCAAAGTGTTAATAGGCAAACTGGCTACACATTAAAACGCCATCTCGGATATAAATATCACTTTTGATGACCGTATGAAGTTAGGGTAACTGTGAAATGAATTTTAAGTAAATAAGTTTGAAGACGCCTCCAAAAGAAGTTTTCTTGGCGCAACATGTGTGTGCAATGGTGTTGATTTGGCTTCGAAACATTGATGATCTTGTGAGGGACCTTAAAGAGAATCTGGATTCACTTACCTATAAAGTGCATATAGAGTCGAAAAAAGAAGACACGCGGATGCCTTAGACAAGAATTATTGCCACACCCGGGTGTGTCATCATCTAGACTACTGGTATCCAAATTTCAGGCGCTTTATGATCAACTCCTAACCTGCGAAAATGTTGAATCTCAGGTTCATTTGAAAAATTTTTGATAGAGCCATCGTGAATACATTTACCTGAAATCTGTACTTTTAATTCTCTTGACTATCACAGTGACATATAACCACCTATATAATAGGTAGTTGATAAACCACTGTTGTCTACCAGTTAGATCATACTGATGGACAAACTGACCAAAACGACATGTTAACATTATTATAACCGACAGATATCAAAATTATTTGGAATCTCAAGTACAAATATCAGCAAAATCAAAGCGTTTCTGTCTACATTATGTCAATAACAGTTTCAAAGCGATGAAATATCAAGCAAAAAGTTTAAAATCACGAGTAGATGCTTCACACTTTGTAGGTCAAACATGACAAATATAAGAGGACGCTTGATGTAGTGAAAAAAAAAGGCAAAAAAATGAAATACAGCACCCACTTGTAGATAGGCAGCATGATGGGCAGCGGATGCGCGATATGCGGGGCAATGTCGAGGAGGTTGGCTCGTTCACTCAGAGCTTCACGCACCATACGATACTGCTCCAGATCGAGATTGAAAACAGCCTTTTGAAGGTAACGCACACCACCATGGATCAGCTTCGTTGAACGACTTGATGTACCAGAAGCAAAATCTTGCTTCTCTACTAAGCAGGTGGTCAAACCTGGAGAAAGGAATCCGCATTCAAGTAAAGCAGATAATTGAATGTAGTAGGAGGAGTAGTGTAACGCCGAAATAGAAAAGTAGGTTATGCATAAGCGGTACTTATGGATCCTTTTGACAATGGCTGTTTGGGATCTAAAGAGTATAGTGCGCTCGTGTTTTGCGTTTGTGGAAGAATGGTGATAAAAATTGCTTCATGTATATTTTGGAGTTTGCATGTTTCCCTTTTAGACTGCGGTACAAGGACTCACCACAGAGAGAAAGAGAGGTTAATCAAAGTCAATCGCGGGTAAGAATGAATTGTACCAGTCAGATTGAAAGGTCAAATAATTTATTGCTGAATATTTATGCCACATGACGAGTGATCAAAACCCGGTGTAAATACATAAAACATTCTAAATAGTGCTAAATTTAAATTGCCACAAATATTATTTTCAAATTGCGGAAATCTGTCAATTAAACGGATGCAAAAGCGCATATTTGAAATACAGCAACATACGCCGATAAAATTTATGATTTCGGCAGCCAATATTTTTTAAACCTTGAAAACAGGAAAAAATGCTACTCTAATAAAAGAACGTCAGTGTTCCCACATGTTAACAATGTTGGCACGCAGTAGTGCGTATTTCCTAACTATTTAGGCGCCACGGCAAATATTCGAACGGTTGTAAAACCAAAAGATGTCGTGAAGTTATATTTCATGAGGTCGCTACGAATTTCAATCGAAAGAAGATATGGTAACAAATTGGTAGAGATGGGTCTAAGTTATCGTATAACACATATAAGTGAAAGACAAGTTCTTCTATATTATCTGCATCTAATAGAAATTCAATGGTATGCTCATTCACTGGTAAACTATTGCCCGATCATCATGGAAAAAGTGCAGCAAACTATTAATGCGTCGTTACACCTTCCTCTGTATTACCTCACAAGCACAAGATTTCTTGTATCACACAGAAAAATTTGGTGGGTAATGATAAGTTAATCTTTTTCCTAAAGCGGTGGTAGGAGGACATTAAAGCGGTTACAGTTCAATGCAACCCCGTTTGTACACCGTAAATCGCGATAATTTAGGTCCGGAAAAGTTGCAGTACAACGGCCTTTACGGATAACGTTGGTTATGCTCTAAGTGATACCAAAAGCTCATTCAGATGGCTTGTGAAATATAGACAATAGGTTAGACCCACCTCGAGTGACAGCATCTAGAGCTACACCTGTGCCGGTGGCCCCACCGCCGATAACTAGAATATCGAAGACATCGTTGTTCTTCATCATGCGATCGATGTTTTGCTGACGACTTGTGAGAGGACCACGAAAAAGAGCGAGTTCCTCCTCCGGTGGAGGTTTACGAAGTCGAGAGGCCTAGAGAAAGGCAAGAGCAGTACGGTACAAACGCCCTTGAATTAGCCCATATCCTCTAAGAATGAGCCAAATTAGTACTTAAAACGTTTGTGGTGAAAAAATGTGCAGCAAACAGGGTGGCCCAAGGTAGGTCTACCTTAGGCCATTTGGAATTTTTAGAACTCATGGTTCTCGCTAAGCTCTGAATTTTCTTTCCGTTTCATGGAAGCACTTATTTGGCGCACGTATGAAACAGCCTAGCTATTCTTTTAAAGCATAATGCGTCATATGGAAAACCCATAAAGAAATATGATTACCAATTTTTAAGGATTTTTCGAACTACTTGAAACGCCATATCACATTTGCGCAGAACTACTTCAGAAAATGCCCAGAATAATAAAGTTTGAAACGCGTATTGAGAAACCTTAATTTAAACTAATGAGCACACTAAAATATGGAGAGGAAATGAAGGAGAGTTACTTCATTGATATAATAACCTTATTAGACCTTAAGGGCCGCCTGAAAAAAGCTAATTTTATGTTGACATTGTATCGAACATTTGTGTTTCAACTACCAATATCCCCAAAATGTACTCGATGAATTGCCAAATGTTAACCGATACGGAGTAATTTCAGAATAAACTAGTGAAAAGACAGTGCACCGAAAAAGTGCTCTTCGAAAACAAAAGAGAGAGCTGTTAAAATTAAAGTAAGCCATATCCCACCAGAAAAAAGTGGTGTGCTCGTTCAATGGCACTATTTTACGGTGATAAGTGCTTAAGCAATACGCACATTAACTTAATAAGACGAAATTACAAGTAGAGAAAGTCACAGAAAAATTCGGCTTTATCTTATAGACATGCAAAAACAACCACGGAATCATATTTATGTTTATTAATGCGAATGAAGTACAGGTACAGAGAACTAATGAGCTAGTAAACTTGCAGCAAAACTTACGCGCATTCTTTTAGCCTCTAACAGTTTTGGTGCATATTCCATAACGGCCAAAGTTCCCAAACCTGCAACTGTGCCAGTCACCAATAAGCGCTGCCATGCCACTCGTAATCCAGAAATTTTCATTGCCATCTAGGTAAAACTTAACATTTTAATTGACCATTTTACAACTCCTAAGTGAAGTTATCATATCTGAGTAATCGGGATGAGCAAAAACAAAGAAAGTCAAAAAATAGATAAATTTGAATGCTTGATTTTAAAAAAGCAAATGAATTAATAGAAAATCCAACAATATTAGAGCAGCAAGATTAAAATAACTACAGTGGGATGTGGGTTGGTAAAATTAGAATCCTAAAATACTATACTTGTTTCATATGACTTCAGGCTAGGGTTTTTTATCTAATGCAGCCTGTTTAATTCATCTTGGTGCCTACTAAAATCTTAACTAGTATCGTGCTACCAAAGAAGGAAGATCGTAACGTAATGCAGTAAGAAGCGGTCAAATATCCTCAAAAAAATCGAATGAAAATCAGTAAACAGTGACGCCCAAAAGTATGCATTAAGAGCCAAAATATTTATTCGCCAAATTTATCATTTATTAATGCGAAATGAACAATGAAGCAGATGTGAATTATCACCATATTCATTAGGCATGAAAAGTTGCAAAAGATTGAATAGTAGGAACTAAGCTCCCACAGAGAGCCCGCAATTTCAGAAATACAATCCATGCGACTAGAGCAATTGTTAAAAATGCAGAAGTAACTAACCCTAAAGCCAAATAAGCTTTCAATGAAAGGACGCGCGACTAGTAAGGCCGCCTAACGTCCACGAAGCAGAAAAATAGAGCGTTGACAAAACCTAACAATGCCTTATTCAAAAGAACCATTAAGCCAAAATATAAAGTGCCGAAAAATAACTTAATTGAGGCCTAACACTATAGCAGATCAGCCCTGAATGGCCTTGACGTGCAATTACGAAACAAATAAAAGATGTAAAGAACAGTGAAGTGAAGAAGCATAAAATAGCGTATAAAAGTACAGGTGACAATTTTTACCTCAAGCCTACAAAATTTTGGTCAAATGGGTTTCCAAACACTGAGATACGCATTTGTCGAAAATCACTGCTCACATGTCTAGGAATTACGTAATGCATGTTTGCTTGACCAAACCATTTAGGTGAAAAGGAGGACTAAATTTTAAAAGGCAATAATTCCATTCATTGTGCCCAGTACGTATGGTTACAAATAATGAATGCCCTACCTATTGATTCAATGTAATTCTCATGTTGTTTTGATGTTCCTTTCACAGAGAGAGCGGGGGTGCGAATCGAACCACGTGACAAGAGTCGGTGTTCTGCAAGCCTGAACTCTGCACCAGTTTTCCCCATTTTGCTTGCCCTAATGAATATGACAAAATCAAACCAACCCAGGTGTTCCAAGAGTACGAGGAGCAGGGAAGAGGGGACCTATGAGGAACTGAAGGCCGAGGAGGAAGAGATGAACACTAAATCTATTAAAGCTATTAGATGTTGGGGAACCGAATTCCAAATCCTGGTATTTCGGCAAACATCATCGAATTCATCGTGCATTCATTTTGATGAGACTCTAATACGTTATTATCTTAGGATCAGGTTTTAATAAGTCTGGTTTTTCTGTACTGCACAAGCAAAGCACTTTTAAGGAGGGTCAGATCCGGTAAATTAATTTACCAAATGCCGGTATTGAAAATATCACAATATATTTTATGGGAACCTAAAATTTGTAATGACCTTTTGTTACATTCCCTCTAGCTATTAAATATTGATCCGCATTTGTGTTTTACATAGTCTATTACATATGGAATTGTTACTTTAATATCAAGCATTTTTTCTTAATACCCTACTTTGAAGAGTTATGCGTATTGCTTACAATTAATGCAAACTAATCCAACTTATATAATCCACCGGTTAGGCTACTTTTTTATTTTTTCTGAGACGATTACTATTGTTCACTTAATTTTTTAATTTTCTATCCTTTGAAATGTTCGTCTATTTCCCGACCTTGACGTCGATGGTGTGCGCTTCGCGTCGCCTATTTGCCAGGTCTTTGGTTTGCTCCTCACGTGAGTTCAATTGTTTTATTTTACAATTTCAATTTTGTGGAGTTTGGGATACTTATGAGCAAAATTTTAATGCAAATCGTTGTAGTGTTTATATTAACTATTCATGTCTTTCACTTTAGTTTCCTGCAAGGAAACCTGACTGAAAAACCCAAGCTAACCTCCTTTCTCTCCTTCCAACTTTTGCGCGTTTTGATGTGTGTTAGCCATATCGTTGTCTGTTACCTTTTTTATTCATTTACCCCTCCCCGATCAGGATTGACAATTCAGTATTCTAACGCTTCTCCGCTTATACTGTGCGATAATTCCAGCTATTTTTTGGTGGCAAGTCTTTTTGAAAAGACTCTAATGCTATTGTTTCCAAGAAGATAAGACCACAAACTGACTAACTCATACTGGCCGTTTATGACTACTTTTGGCTAATACTATTTTGGAACCCTTAGATTCATTGAAAGTGTGCCAAATTATTCCATTTTGACGTATTGCCTTCTTTTAGAACTACCTGATGATAACAGGTACCTCACTTTTTGTGTTTGTTGTTGCGGTAATTGCATTTCTCTGCTCAATTCGGTAAAACTCCCTGTCTAACTTTCGAAATTTCTTCTGGCCCTTAGCATTAGTGGCTTTGTCAGTGCTAAGATACAGATTGCCTACTCCTACTGCCCTCTCCAAGCAAACCAGTTGTTCTTACTCTAGTGCTATCTTATTTGTCATTCGTTGGGAAACCATGTCTGTAAATGCTTGGTGATTGACCCAGATACTGTGGCCTTTGCATTGTTATAGCATTGCTTTCTAATTTCAAAAATCTTTTATTAGTAGCTCTCAACGCTTCGACTTTGCATCGCAACACCATTTTTGAAAAAAGGCAGACCTTCTCATCAGCCAGCTGTAGTAAATTTTGTTCTGGTTTTTAGGGGTGTTTGAACGGTTTCCTAATAACGTCTTTGCATAAATGTATACTTTGGTTGACAGTTCTAGTTATTGAAAGATACAAACGTCTCTGTTTGTCCATCTTCTTACAGTGTGAGTTGCGTTATTTTTTATCATCCCGGTAATGACCTTTTTTGGGCCTCCAAATAACTCGGGTGTGTTTTATAAACAAACCCATATTTAGCTAGTGCTCCCATTTTTGCTTGTGATGATGTCGAAAAACTTGACGAACACATGTACAGGTACACTTTTTTCTTTGATGCTGTGGATGGCAGCACAAGGGATGGAGATATCCTCTCCTTCCGAGGCTTGCGGTCTTAGCTGCTACTTCTCGCACCTCAAATGGGAGCAAATGGCTGCCGGTCTGACGAGCGGTGCCGTGACCACAGCCATCCTCCATCCACTAGAGCTGGCCAAAATTCGTCTTCAAGTGAATGAGGGCTACGGAGCGGTTAAGATCCGGTAGAATTTTCTACCGATTCTGTACCGGTGTGCAGTCTTAGTCCACTTCATTGTTTATTTCTGCTCCCTTCATAGACCCGTGAGCTCCCATTTCGTTGGGACCCTGCGTGAAATTTACAGGGTGAAGGGTTTTCCTGGTCTTTATCAGGGTGCTGCGCCCAACTTAATGGGTAACGCGGTCTCTTGGGGCCTTTACTTCCTATTGTAAGCATCGCTCTGTTGCATTGTGCCTTTTTGTTTGTTCTACTTTTTTCTTCTCTGCGCTTTTTAGTTACGGTGCGCTCAAGAACTATGCCCAAGATGGTGATGAATCTAAGATGTTAGGATCAGGTGAATACCTTGCCCTGGCTGGTGTTTCTGGTAAGTCACCTTAGCAGCCTGACCCTTGTTTTGTCTGACTGAACCAGACTAATTAATTCTCATGCTTCTGGAGGTTAGCCATTACTTTCTACTATTTGATACGACGATCTCACTGCAACCACCATGCCCTTTTGATTTGGCAATGATTTTAACCACTGTGTAGTTGGTTTTGTAATTTTTTTTTCTATCGAGGAATCGATCATTACTTTATGTATATTTTACACTTAAGTGGGACTTACGTCCCTGTGCAGTGGCGAATTTTGAATGCATTTACCTGGGTTTTTTTCAGTTCGAATTTGCCATATCTTAGAGGAACTCTCTTCGTCTTCGTAGTGAATCTAATAGCCATTTGTAGCGAATTTGGCGCAGCCTTTAAAATTACTGTAATTTTGGTCTCTATTTGAGCAGATTCCTACTAGAGTGAATGCACGCATAATTAACGTCCCACGGTAAACCTCAACGTACTAGAGCATATACAATTGTTGATGGTGAAGCCTAAAATCGTAACGTTATCCTTTTTTCAAATTAGAGGCGTTTTAGTAACTAGGAGCTTTTTGGAGTGCATTTGTAGGCAGTAAAATGGGATTGTGTGCATAATAATTTAAACCCTACCTCAGTATGCTTTGAAAATTTATTAGACCGATAGACACACCCTATCTCGCATATCTTTAGTGAACGTATACAGTTACTCGTCTGAACTGCAAAATGAATGTAAAAACCCTACAGTCTGGATGTGTGGCCACACATCTACTTTTATGCGAATAATTCGCGGTAGAACCCATTTGCCTCAAGATAACCAATTTTCTAGATGACAGCACATTAATCAACCTTGTTCTGCAAATCTTTTTTTACTATTTTTTTGTCTCGCCCATTTACTCATGCTTGCTTCTCGTCTTATATTTTGCTAATACCAATATTCATTCGGTTACGAGATTTTCTTGACCATTTGGCTTTACGTCACAGAAATTTACGGGCATTACTGTTGATCATTAAATTGGTAAAGTTGGGTTATATATCCCCTACAATCTCAACACTAATCCAACTTACATAGCAACCAAATAAATTAGACTGTTACATGATACACCAAGACTCCCAAAGTATTTTAATTTGGCAACATCTATGCGTAGACTCATTACCTTTCGACAATCTTATGATGCGCTTTGCATATACATCTCTCTCATGTTAGTAATGATTCTAGGTGGGATGCATATTACAGCTTCTCTATGAATCTCAGTAACGATAGCTACCTCTTTCTTTTTCATTAGCTCATTTTTTGTGACAACATTTAACTCGAAATTGTCCTGCAGTTAACTAGTTATGAAGTCATAGCAAACTTAATGTGACAGGCAAGTCTCACCATTATTTAAGTCCTAAGATTTACCTTAATCTGTTTATCGTAGCAGCATTTCATACTACATTCAGAAATCATTCGAACTCTAGAGTAGAGCCCACGCTTTGCTATAAAGTCCATATTATTAGCCACATTTATATCGTGATTGACTTGTAATGCCACAATTGATTGGGCAAATTTAATTTTTACTAATTACAGTGATTCAGCATCACTGAAAGCGAAGATCGTATCAAAACTGCAGTTAATCATAATCCAGTTATCAGTGCGAAGTAGTCAACTGAGATTTCAGTAGCATAATTGTTGACTCACTGAAAGGTTTTCAAAAGTCCTTCACTGTCTATGGGTCCGTTTGGTGTCAGGTGTTTATCATATCAGCTATGGCCCGGCCATCTGATAGCAGATGATAGAAAGTCTGTTGTGGGACCTAAATAAACCAAAGCGCAACTTTTGCAGGCGCGGTGGTGCTGTGGCTGACGAATCCCATATGGGTAGCAAAAACTCGCATGTGTCTACAATACGAGACGCTGGGAGCTTCGTATCGTCTGACCACGTGGAGCACCCTAATGGAAGTGTGGCGGACGGAGGGCATCCGTGGCTTCTACCGCGGCGTTGTGCCTGGCATGATAGGCGTCTCCAGTGGGGCGGTGCAGTTTTTGCTCTACGAAGAGCTGCGCAACTTCTACAACTGTCGCTGCCGCCAACGCACTATTGACACTCATTTGGTGAGTAGTTGCGCCTTCTTCTGATTTGGAAAATAATCTAAGAAAACGTCCGAATTCCTATCAGTGGTATATTAGTTAATGACCTACAGTAAGTCATTTTTACTTTAAAGCGATGTAGACTCTGATGGATGTCTAAGCTACTTCTGCGCACTATTTCACACATGAACGACTTTTACCTGCAAACTGGTTTAACCGTGTTTCCCAAGCTCTGTGTTTTGTTGCCCATTAAGGCAACTGACCCCACGCTGTCTTTGCTAAATACTCTAAAAGTTTGACTTGTGGATATATTGTACATGCTTTTACGTTAGTGTCGTGCAATAGAAGCTCTTTTTGATTCGTCATTGCTGATACTTTTCCACATTATTGCTGCTCACTATAGTATGCTGCTTGTCCAACGTTGGCGGCGTTGCTTACTTTTCGTTTAAACATACCGCCATTGCTGCTGCTGTATGAAGTCCTTTAAATGCGCTATTTCATATTTCTTGTGTCTTAAATACGCTTGTATGACGTTAATGTCGCCTTAGCTCCTAGTTAAATCGGTTTTGTCCTTATTTCCCTTTGTAACCACGACACACTAATCTATTAACCGTAAATGCCCATTATCTTTGGTGACCGCCTTTTACATCCTTAGCGCCTTGCTAAAATCCTTATTTACGCCACTTTGTAAACCTTGTAAACTATTAATGGACATATTTGTATTTAAGTGTGGGATTATTTGCTCTTTATTACCTTCCGATCTTCCCTTTCGTGTCTCCTTAGTTGCTCAACTTTGAAACTCACCTTCACGTTCATTGCGACGACCTCATTCAAAATATTGCATCTGTTTCTCATATGGCATCTTTAAGCGCACGGGCTCGCTGAAGTTTTGACTATCTACTGTCAACCTTGGTTTTATTTCATATTTCGAATATAATAATGCCAGCCATGTTACTACGATGGGCTAGGCCATGTTGAAATGATGCAGTTATCAAACTTCTCAAACCAATAAATCATTTTTTTATTTTTAGAAAGCCTCTGAATATCTTCTGATAGGAATAATTTCCAAGGCAATGGTCCTTTCACTGACATATCCCCATCAGGTCGTGCGAACGCGTCTGCAGGAGCAACATCGAAATTACTCCAGTCTAGCAAACCTCCTCAAGACCATTTGGAGGTAACTGCTACTTTCATTCATTTCATTAGGTTATGCCCCTTGTCGTAATGGGATCGAAGTACTCCTTTCTCTTTTCCAGCTACGAGGGTGCACGTGGTTTCTATAAGGGCCTTCTGGCCAACATTTTGCGAACAGCTCCATCAGGTGGTCTGATGTTTGTGATCTATGAAAACTGCTACAAGTGGCTGACTGCGCTGAGGTAACAAGCACCAGAGTCGACCGATGCTGACTGAAGGGTCACCTACTCGCGTCACTTTTTACCGTGATTCGCGCATTTTAATTAGGCGCAAATGTTTAGTACTTGATTTGTGTACATAGTTAACGCGAATTATGTGAATTTTGGGCATTAAAATATTCAATAAAAGGTTATACTACATCTCAATCATGACGCCCTCAACAGTTCGGTTACACCACTTTGTCTGTAGCTTGTTTGCCTCTTCCTAATACTAACTTAGAAGACATGAAATAGCTTTTAAGATCCAATTTGCGGTTAATTATAGGCGGTTATCTAGTAAATGCTTGGTGTTTCAAGTTGTCTGCCCCATACGTCTTCACTTACGAACATTGTAATCCAAACATCTCGGGTCAAAATCACAATCCAAATGTTTCCCGTAGTGCTGATCGCGTGCCTTAGCAAGAGGCCAGGCACTGTCCGGAAACAATGTCATTAAGGAATGTAGAACCTCATTCCTTATGACACTGTAGTTTTCACGCACCCAGGTCAGAAATGAGTATTATTCGTATCTACTTTGATTGCATTATCCATGGGATTTATACAGCAATATTTTTCTTTGTTGAGTTCTCAACACCAAACCTTGGGGCCATACCAGCATTCGCTTTAGCAACAGATGAAATGTCCATAGGCGGCATCTCTTCTGGATGTGATTTTCCGATTCACTAAACTTTGAACGTGGATGTAGGGGAAGTACTAATTAAAAGTAAAATTTGAGATTAGGCACTTAGCGCGGTTCCCAACCCTGGTTATCAGACAAAACTTACTACGGAATTGACCGTAGGTAACATCTGAGATCTTTTGGTATCCCACTACATAAACGGCTGCCTTTTTCAGGGCAGACTCATTCTAGCTCAGTGTGCAGTGATGTTACTGTAGCTACCACACAAACACCGACTGGTACATCAACAGCCTTGTCGCAACCACAGCTCGCACCACCACGTCTACAGCTTTATTCCATTTTTGGAAGTGGGCAGCCCTGATACTTTAGTAAACAACAGACCATTGCGGTACTCGATATCTGCAGCTTTGGATACGGAAATGGGGTAAATTAAATTCACGGGAAGTACTAAATCAAGCTTTAAACTCGCTGGCCAAATCAACCTCTGGGGTTATTGCTACTTAAGTTGAATTAGTAAACTGCCATGTTCCCCTCGCAAACCACTCAGGGATCCGGCCCAACGTGGTGACTGCTGTCGCATCTTTATCTCAAAGCGCCATTCAGTCAATTTTTGCGTACAGAAACAAGCGCTTACGCAATTTTCACGGAAGGGAGAAGATACCATAAGAGAAATGTTACAAGAGGGAGAGTGGGCAGGAGGCGGAAAGATAGAGGAAGGCAGAAAAACGAGCAAAAAATACGGAGTAGCACTCGTCTACCAACTAATGTAAAGACATATGTATAGAATGCGCAATATCATGAAGGCTATCAGAAAACTTTCTATACGTGATCCTCTATCTCATCTTCCTCCAGTGCCACCTCTGACATGGAAGTGGTGATGGCTTCTGTTTTTTCTACCCTATTGTTTGGCAGGAGGTGTCCCACGGATTCAAGATAGGCTTGCACAAACTCCGTGTAGTACTGACGTTCATGGAGGTACTTTTTTAAACGCTCTGGCAGTGGTAGGAGGTCAATGTGGTCCTTGCGGACCTTGAGAAGGATTTCAAATCGACAGAGGTGAGCTAATGAGTGTACGACAAAGAACCGTGATACTGGGTAGAGGAGACGTGCTTCTACGTGATGGTTCTCATCTAAATGGTCGGTTGTACCACTACCCTGATGGTTGGCTGAAGTCGTAAGTACGGATTGCCGTAGGAAGAAACGTGTTCGACCCCGCTCTGATTCCGCAATCACGTGATTAATGAACTGGGCAATGCTCGGTGATGTAGTGTCGGCGTCTCCTTGCACCGCAAAACCGAATTTCCCTGAAATAAAACATACGGCATAAAAATTGGATGCATCCAAAGCCAGTTAAGATGGCCCAACGAATAGGTGGAGCGGCCATTAGACACGATAGAGCTACAGTAACTTTTTCATTAAGGCCTTTAATCAATCCAATTACAGTCAGTGTAGTTTGGAGGATAAAATCTTCGAGGGCGTTTTCAATTTCACGAATGTTACAGAGGTAGGAGAATAATTTGTAGATATTTAAGTGACAAGACGACGCAAACGACCGTTCAGGAAGTTTTATCAATAAGTTCGATCAGTTACTAAATTAGCGACATGACCAAGGAGGCAACACGATCGAGGCAGTAAAACCAACCTATGTTCAAGACCAGGCATCCGGGATACCGACAGATTAACGTTGGCACAGTCTACACTGTCACTGCAAAGGCTAAACACGACCAGGAGTCGCAGTAGACATAAATGCAGCAAGGCGCGATTATAAGCGCTTTAATATTCGAAACTACACAGAGTGGTTTAGAATTGTACCAATACAGTTGATGAAAGAAACAGTAATGAAAAAACGGATATAATCAGAAATTTACCACCAGTATGTTCAATACGAGTATGATAGGTGCGATTTTCAGCCCGAAAACTGACACTCAAAATGTAGAGCTCGTGTCCACTGTCACGAACGAGAAAACTGCCGTTTGGTCGGTCTTTCAGCAGCAACTCAGCTTCTTCTATGGTAAGCGGACCCCAATACCATCCAGTCTGCAGTGGTCAAAGGATAAAATTTGACAAGGTGGCTCCAATTTCGCTTTCCGTTGGTAAAACAAGACTCAAATTTTAAACCGCTGGAAAACAAATTTATTCACATAAAGACAATATTTCAAACATTGCAAGGTCCCATAAACACGGAATATTTACCAATTACTTTCTTCAGAATGAGTACGTGTAGGTAGGCCTATATTCAAAAGAGGCCACTTTCAAGTCCGTGTTCCGACAGATAAGTTGCACGCAATATTAAAAGTGAAAGTTTGGAATAATGTGAATTTAAAAATTGAAATAATATACCTCTGGCATAAAACTATAACAGGGAATTGTCAGGTTCGATATTTCAAGACAAATGAAATTGATGATAATCCAAGTTGCTTTTAAACGATAATAATGTGGTCTAATATTCTCTAAAATCGTCACTACTGACGTTTCTCGAGCATTTACCCGCTTCAATTGGTTTATATTTTGCAAGAAGATCCTCCTTTGATCCGTTTGATTGGCATCCACCATTAATGGAACCTGCGTATTTAACAAAACCCGTGTCGGAGGCTCCTCGTTCCTCGTTCCCACATCTTCCACCTTAAAGCTCGGTCTGGCCAGCTGTCCGGTCGGTGTCTCCACTTTCGCTGACTCGATCGCCCGAAGTGCGTCCGAAACGGGTGCTGGTGGGTCGCCGTCGGTCAGCTGCTCTACCATTGCGCAGTTATCATCAGCTTGACAATCTACCGCATTTACGAAATTGGGAACTTCGTTCCCATTCTCCCCTTCCTCCTCCTCTTGCTCTTCAACAGAAATCGCCGCGTTTGGTGGCCAATTAACAGAGAGCTTTATCAGCGGAGAAGAGGGCCTTGAATCCACGGCCTCAGCAACAGCACCAGCAGTTGAAGTTGTGGTATTTGTGGCAGGAGTGCTAGGTGGTTCCAGAGGCTCGCAGTGATAGTAATGGTGGAAGTGGTAGTGGTGCAGCATTATGTGCTGTTTGTGCTCACCACCGCAACACCCAGTAAGGCCGTCAATGCCACAGAGAGCAGGTTCAATGCCCGTGGAAGCACAGCGACAAGCAGGGATGGAATCAGGCTGAGTTTGCACTTCCACATTGCGTGTAGCTGGCTTGAGTTTTACAGCAATGCTTCTGGGTGGCGGAGGCGGGGGCGGAGGCGGGGGCGGAGGCACGACACGGGGGGGGCAAGTGGGCGGTGGGGAAAGGGAATGTTTCTGATGAGGACCACAGGGGAAGAGCCAGCGAGGAAGGCGGCTGCGGTGTTGATGATCGACGGGAGAGGCGAGGGAGACCTGTTGAGGTGTCGGATGGAGTTGCGGTTGGTGGTGGTGACTGCAGGTGCAGGGAGCTGGTGAAAGTTGGCGTCGACGACTGGAGGGTGCTGGGTAGGACCCATTGGGTGGAGACACCAGAGCTTTGGGTCGTTGATGCTGTGTCGGCCTGCAGGGGATTGGTTAAAATCTCCATTAGAATAATACTCCTTAATTCTCCCACCTCACGGATGAATCTTAAATCATGGTATAACCACAAAGCATTAATGGAAAATCTGTTATAAAATCCGCAATTTAGCGCAATCCTTAATACCAACACTAAGGAAAGACGGAAGCAAATGCACCATTATTTCTCATGCTGACTCACGCCGCAATCGGAAAAGGATTTGCAATTTTCGCTTCTAGGATTAATGCAATGTCAAAAAATGCTAGTCTAATATTACTTTGTGGATGCTAGGCCTTGCAGTTTTGCGAATTCAACATGCGACCTACAAAAGCCTACATCTACGTGAAGGTTTTATGCACTAGTTTGCTAAACATAGCATATCGCCAAACTCCAAGCACTAATAAGACAACACTTAAACTGCATTCAAATTCACATTGTTTACCAGTAAATGGACGAAGTGTTTTGACGGAAAGTTAATAAAGTGATCTAAAAATAAGATTTTTCGTTGCAAGGTATAGATGCTCAAAATGTGCATTTTTAATTAGTAAATTAAAATCAAAACTTTTGAGAGGATTAATCTCTGGGAGTTTGCAGACGGAATTCGATAAACACATTCACGATGGAATCATCGAAGAATCTAAGTAGGTTGTGCATTAGATAAGAGCAGCAGTAGAAGTTGTTTTTCAACAAACCAAATACGCTATTTTGAACACAATTATCTTAGTTAATTAAAATATCAACAATTACGGATTGGACATCTAAAACAAAAAAAAAATAAAAAAATTGCAAAAAAACCCAACTAAGAAATCTAAGCATCACTTGTAGAGAATAAAGTTGGAGATAAGTTTTAAGATTGTATCCAAAAACCCCACTTGTTTTGTATCGCTCCGAGACTTCCCCGAAGGCAAAAGAAGACAATACTAGAGCCGAATATGTCAATGACACATAGAAGGGACCAAGGACTACTGGCATGGCCCAGAGGCCAGGCTGCCCGGTGGAGGTACAAAGGCGGAACCCCTAAGTGGCCCGTTACCAAAACTGAGAGGAAAACAAACGAAGTACTACGATTGTGAGTTTACAAACTTGAATACAAACAGGAATAACACCGCTAACTAGTAGTATGCTAGTTCCTGATCCCAATGACTGTAAGCACACGAACAAGTCTAGCTAAGTAGCAAGACTCATTTAAATGAACCATGTATTTGTTAAATTGCGATCTCAAAACAACCTATTCACTCGATCAACGACACGAGATAAAGTTTTCTCCAGTTTTTGTGAAAGGAATTTACTTAAATGTGAAGTACATAATGACCCAACAAAAGACAAGACGATGAAAGTTGGGAAAAAACGTCGCAACTAGTGGCAATATTTGTCGTCAGACACTACACACAAGACTAAATCCACGATATTTACTTTTTTAAAGTCTTGGTAACATTTTCAAGTATGCGGAAGCTAAAACTAAGCAGAAAATCACGGACAGAAGTAAGTTTTCGACTTCTGAAAAAAATGATGAATTAAATTTTAAGTAGAACAAATCTTCGCCCCACTTTTTGAAATGGCAAACCAGTTTTGCCTCAAAACTTTTGAAACAGCCTGAGTAGCAAGAACGTGCTTCATGTGTGTGATAAGTTACTAAACCATGCTCGCATCAGAAATATTTCTTAATTAAAACGACTATTCAATACAGCACAGAAGCGTCTTGATGCATAACTAAAATTCACCAAATTAAAACGGGGGGCCTTATCAAATGAAAAATTTCTTAACCTCAAATAGTTTTTGATCCTTTTAAGCATTGCTTACTCATTTCGTTTCGCGGTATTTTTGGTGGTCACCTCCAGCGCAGCCTGCACGCACCTTGGATCAATTTGCATCAACTGGACACGCCGCTGGTGTTGAGGTGGTTGACTTTTGCTTCTGCGTCGTTGTGCGTACAAACTATCAGCAGTCGAGTCTCGACCACCACCGGCGGTTTCGCCAGCACGGAACCATCGAAGCAGACGGTCTGTCAGATTGTTAGAAGGAGTTGGATCGGGAGTGTTGGGACATCCTCGTTGTTGATCGGTCGTGGTGGTCTGGACGCTGTAGCTGGTTGTGGTCAATGGGTAGTAGACTGAGGGATCATCTGGGTCCAATGCGATAACACGTTCAGGGACAAAGTTAACTATAAATCAACGTCTCTGTCAGCCGCTGTGGTTTCTTGTAACAAGGATATTCATGGAAATTGTATGCCATATTTTTTAGCTTTTATTTGAAACGCATCCAACGTTAGCAGAGAAGGTACCACTCAGATTAAAGGAATCTTCTTGCAATACGAGAAGCCGGAAAATCAGTTGTAGTAAGCACAGTCAACAAAGCAGAAGTGAATACCACCCAAATGGCATGAGATCCCAGTATTTTGTACTACTTTGAATATGTTTACATACTGGGTGGCCTCTCTTTGAAGAAAACAGAAAGAAAGCACCAAAATCTAGTATTTCGCTCTTGACTACTTTCAGATTATGAAATGGAGGTAATTATGACAGTCCATTGCTTGAAAAACACCCCATCCTCAGAGAAACAAGTCAATGTTATTAGGATAAAAATGGGCAAATTTTTTTGTATGAAACAGAGTATTATGCTACTTGTTTGGCTAACTCTCGGTTTTGGTGACAGGCCATTTAGGGCTCGGCCACTGTATCTCTTCCAGGTGGCTTGGTGTTCGGACAATGCAGACAGCCCTAAGCCCTTCTGAGCTTCGTCAGTACACATTCCATCCGAGTATTGTCCTCTTTCGTCTTCATCGGTGACAGTGAAAACTGAACTCGGTCTTAAAGGACAACTATCCTGGATGATGAACCTTAGCAAGACGGAAGAAGTGCATATGTTGTGAATGGAAGAATTCGTAACGACCCCCAGCAGGTCTAAAAATGACATCCACTTTGGACAACTACTCCAGTCTTTAGTTCTCCAAAAAACCTATTGACTGCTGAAGCGGCACTAGCCGTGAACCATGTGAGTAGGTTCGTTAAAGAGCCGTCTACCGTACCTGTATAGGGACATTAATTACGTGAACATGCGGTACCCCTTCCAATTCTCTACTAGCTAAATGGAGAATCCATATAGATATGGCTGGGTAGTACTGAAGTGAGAACAGTGACAAAGAGGAATGAGTACGAAATCTTATTCCCAAGAAACTATGGTAAGTCTCGTCCTTTGTTAAATGGCTGTTTTTAGGCCAGTGTTCCTACGGCTAGCGATGGGCAACGCACGATAGTTGGCACATTCTTCCTTCTCCCGACACAGGTCCCGTACTGGAAAAAACTCCAGATCAAGTAGAGTTGCCAAGAGAGATCGGTGACTTTGCTGTCAAGTATCTTCTCAGTTGCATGAAAACTCTACGACTGGCACGGTTGGTTCGTGGGTGTTTTTCTTACAACAGCAATTACGTTGTGATGGCTGACACGGGAGGTTGACCAAGGGGAGCGCAGGGAACGACCCTCAAAAGAGGCGAGGGGCTATGCAACGCGTTACCTGCTTATCTCTTGGTTTTGAAAACGAGTCAATCAGGTCTCTGGCCTGACCTTTGGGCCACGCAAGTAGACCCAACTCCTACTGTACGTCGACAATACATTTACAGCTGTCTCAGCATGCTATAATAGTTCGTCCGTAGGCTGAGTTACTGTAGTTCAGCACAACTCCTGCCTACACATTGTTTTACACACTTTGAGCAATATCTTCCGACTTCTTTGTGTTTAATCAAACGACGATTGTTCTGTGACCTTATTTTTAATGCTGAAGATTATGCTTTAAAAAATCAAAAGGTTCAAAAGATCAGCAAAGCTTCCTGTTTACGCAACATCAGAAATGCAAAACAGATCCTTGTCGTCTATGTTTGGTGCATTTAATGAGAATTAGTGGTTTCGAAGTTGAGATCGTTTGAAGTATTTGGCTGATTAACGTAATTTTATGCAAAAGTTGAATGAATTAACCTATGAGATAAGGGGTAAATAAATCGGAGGCATTTGAATTAGACTCGTTGACTTTAAGTGAGCCAATTGTAATATAATCTACCATGACAATGGCATACGAATTAAAACATGGTTTCTACTTCAGGCACCTATCAGTTACGACATCAAATGTACTGGTCAATGCCAAAAATAAATAGGTCATCAGGAGTGATGTTAAGAGGTTCTCATTGCAATTTGTGAAGTAGGTAATCAGGAAGGGCAATAAGCGCTTGGAATATGCGCCTTGGAAGTGTTGAAAGTCGCGACTGATTACGGCGAAGGCTGGGCAGGGTGAAAGAACGGCGGCTTAAAGATAGCACAAAGCATAAAAAGTAGCAAGACGTAAGTGGCAACGCTTGTTGTGCACTACAATGTATCCAAATCAGCAGAACGAACCACCCGACACCTAAGTGAAGGCCCCCTTGCTATACCAGAGAAATTTATGGGGTGCTATTTACCACATAACCACCGTCAATCTTCGTCTTGAGTAAAATGATTCACCTCGGAAGTCATTTGTGGAACGATTAACAGAATCTGTAAATCAAGTACAAAATGTCAAAATAGAAGAGGTTTTACCGTCCTAACTGGCTAATTCTAATGTGACTCAATTTGAAGGCTTTGGATGCCTATAACTAGGTAAATATTCAACTTAACAGTGGCTAAAACAGAGCATTATTGAAGCGATGCTCTAGAGCTGGTGATTAGAGTCCAGTGTTAGGCAAACTTCTAATTTTTTTAAGCTACATAAGGTACTGTTACTAAAGGACGATCGTTTCCAAAAACCAATACAACTCTCCATGACTCACTCTGGAGAGGTTTTCTGTTCCTCCAACAGGATAAAGGTTTAGTGTTGAATCATCGGTGCAGTGAATCATTTGGCTGAATGGGCTACCAAAAGTACAGGACCAGACAACTAGACGGACGGGTGGGCGAAAATGTGTCATGGCCAATATCGCCGTCACACCCTGTCACGTAGTAAGTCCTACCGCTGAACCCCTCTGTGCAACGAATCGGCAAGATACAGATAAGCCTGCGCACGGCCAGCCCTGTCTCAACCACTGTTCTTTGAGTTGCTTCGTTTTAACATATTCCAAATTTGTGGCATTGTTAAGTAGATACTAAAATGATGCAAATATTTTAGGATTAAAAATGAAAGCGTCGAATCACCGACCGGTCATGTGCTCGAATTACACGCTTTCAGGACAAAAATACTGTCTTTTTAACCGAAACAGCTAAAATTGACTGAACGTTCATTTCTTACAGAGGCCACCAAGAATACAAGATCACTGTACCACTAAATGTGCATGAGAGTCAGGAATTCCCATATGTGTAGAACTAAAGTAATATCGTTTTTTTACCCGAAGCATCAAACACCTCGATCCTAACCAGTATCGATGCCTTATCTGAATTATTTTAATAAAATTACCTTAGTATACAAAACGCTAACTTCTAGTTCACGCACTTTCAAATTAAACCAACAATCAAATCATAATCTTACGAGTCAAAATTCCGTCTACGACGCCGATCATTTGCCGCAGAAACCACGTTCTTTGGGAGGACTAGATTTGATTAGGTCAATGACGTCAGATTTCTGGTTTTATCAGTGACGAACCCCAAAACAAATACATTACAATACCTGAAAACAATTTAGCTTGGATATATAAAAAACGACAAATTCAATAACCGCCCAGACGGCACTACGAACACCCATTTATTACTGGCAGGCTATTTTCAGTAGTAAATTCTATCTTCCAAACCAGACGTTTCCATGCGCGAGGCAGGCCCAAGTGGCTAATGTGATGCCCGCTCTATTCGTGATTCTGACATGGGTTACCTAGGTAGGAAAACAACCTTGTTCACCCGTTATTTTCATCGACAGGAACCAATCCAACGAGCTCTTTTTTCTTCACCTAAGGGCGCCCAACCTTAATCCAAGTGCCTATCGTGAATCTATGTAAGATGAATTAGGATTATTCCCGAAATTTGATAGGTCTCCTTCCTATGCCCTTATCATCACAAACAAATCTGAGCTACAACTATCAAGCGCGAGTAATCTAGGCCTATGGTAAGTTTCAGTTAAGCGCCATATTTCCTGTTTTATTTAGTAAATAAATTCTAAGTGCCAAATGATAACCTCTAGTGATACCAAAAAATTATACAAAACTCTACAAGTAGCATGACCATTCGGGAAGACACAGTGAAGTTGCCGCTTGTTCCTGTTTTAAAATTGGGGTATACTTATTAATAGCATTAAATGAACTTCTGTAAAATTAAAATAAGCACAAACAGAAGTCCAAGTAAACAATACAATGGAAGAAGTGGGTCATAAAGTGAAGTAGCGATAACAAATGAACGCCGGATTTTTATGAATTTTGGTCGCGAAAGTTTGGCACACAGAAGGTCAAGTGGCAGCGAAAAATCCCATTTAAGAATGACATAGAATTGCGAAATAAATTATACGTTAAACGTAGATACTCATGCAGTAACAGCTTGTCTACCGACTCCAAATCTGCCGTTGGCAGAGAATAACGGATTATGTTAGATAGGAAACACATTCGAGAATTAAACATATTCCAATGGCACAAAATGTGTATGTTCGCATTTAGGTTAATACGTATCTTTTATGAGTTCGTGAATGTCCAGAAATCCCACCAGAAATTCTCAACGGTATCGAAAAATTGTTTTGGTAGAAATTTCCACTACAATCAGAGATGATTCATGGAACGCAATTTTCGCCCATGAAACCATGATCGCTGGGTAGCTAGAATCATAGCAGACCGGACCAAAGACGAATGAATGGGCGCTCCTTTGATCAGCAATTCGTTTATAACACCCACGTATGTTTGCGACCAATCTGACATGATTCGTCAAAAAACCTTAACCAACAACCGATAGTTCAAAAGAATTTTTTTGAAAAGACGAAGTTCATTTGTTAAGCTTGTGAACTTAAATGTCTACAATGAGGGCATTTTGCAACAGTCTGCCACTACAGTTGTCTTATTAGCACGTTTCGCATTTGGACATGTAGGTGTTCGCTTTGACTCTGGAATATTCAGACTCCTTTATTTAAGGCGACTAGTCCGAAGGTGGCTAGTGAGCTTCAGACTAGCTAAAACGGCAAAAACAGGGCTGACCTAATGACTAGTGTTACCAGTAAGGCGGGAATAAACAAACTCCCACTTAGAAAAACCACCCCAGGGACTGGGGAGTTTGGCACTACGCCAAAATAGGCGTGCTTGCAATGCTTCTGCTGTTGTCGGTGTTAGTGACACGCCATGCGCACGCGCAGCAAGCTGAGGGGAGGAGGTGGGCACTTACAGGCACGCACGCTCACGCGTCCAAGCACTGAGTACGGCCACGCATCCCCACCCAATCGATATTGCTAGGCGGCTTTTGCTGCTGCTGCTGCTGCTGGTGCTGCCTCTTCGAAGTGAAGACAAGGCAGAGGCCAAAATACACACAATGACTAGGAGAGCTGAGATGGATCAGGTAGAAGAGGGTCACACCCAAGAGCTCCATGATTTAAAATGCACTTTTGAACTGAAAGTCCGGAGAACGCGGTTAAAACACCTAAGTTAGGGGGGGGGGGGGGGAAAGAAGGCCTCGTGGGACTTGATCAGGTTAAAACTCCTGAAATACGGCCTTCTCAAAGACAAAGACTTTAAATTGATATGTACATTTGGTCAGAAAATTGCATACACCTATTTTAAACCCGTTTAGTGGATTTCGATGCCCATGAATAGTAAATCCATTGTGTTAGAACTTACTTATCAGTAATACAAATTAAGTTATAAGATCCAATGAGGAAATGCACTCGCTACAATTGTCCCCATTTTTTTCAGAATGAATCATAACACAAGAAACACCGTTTAGGGAGGATCTTATTTGAAGAATAATTAATATTTTTGGTTCATATAAGGCTTAGATATTATGCATTGCCAACAAACTCAATCTTTTCTTAAATCACTGACTGTATGTGGGTTCAATTCAGTCAGACACAGCACAGTTTGATGTACCAAATGAAATGGCATTGATAACTCAGGTTTTCAAGCTGTTAAATCGACTGAACAATCCAGAAGCTAAAATGAAATTGAGAAAAAACATCCTCATGAACCCTTGAATGGTATAGCTAAACGCCGAAAGCTAAAAGTAATTAGACACAAATAGAGAACAGCTTCTCAGTGAATCATGTCTCAAATTTTACTAAAAAGACACTGAACAACATTGGGATTATTTAATGGATAGAATACAAGACTTCGGTACCTTAATTTCCCAACTATCAATTCTTACCTGTTATTTATTAACAAAGGTGCAATTATTTAATGCCCAATGTTCAAAATAGTCCCAGCGATTAATTTGATCATGTTCTCCCAAAAAGAACCCGCCATTTTTACGTCTAATCTTAGCTATTTCCTCCAGAAATCTGTAAGTAAAAGACACCGGCTTTAACTGAACATTTGATTCCTAAGCTCCCAGATCCTTTGCTCACTTCCACACCCATACTTCTTAGAACATAGGGGTTAAAATTTGGTTTGCATTGAAGCGAAGGTAGACGAAAGGAAAAGAGGATGAGTGGTGACCAACCTGGGACGATACGGGAGGGAGTGTTATTTTGTGAGACCGACTGACCTGGAATGGTCTGGGCGTAGAGGCTGGTCGGAGTGGTGTGTAGACCACTGGTTGAGGAGCCGCCGGCAGAAGCGCCCGGTTGGTCTCGCGGAAAGAAGTGCGGTGAGGAGGTATGGGATGGGAACGTCGACGACGTGCCGGTGGCATTCTAGGTGGCAGGAACGGATTCACCACTACAAGTAAATTTTCCCAGATCTGCTTTGAATGCGACTCTATCCTATTAAACTCGAAATGAGATGAAATCTCGCAGATCTTTTCTACCGGGAATTAACTAACTTGCGACGTTTTAGTTCAGAGAAAAAAGGATGCACATTCAACGATCTCCTCTTCATGTGTTATTTTCATTGAATGACTATATTTTTTCGACAATTATGCCAATGTGAATTTACAAGGTCGTCACGATGGTGAGGGTATATAGAAATAATGTCAACAGCTCGGCCTCTGACTCGCCAAAACCTTAGGGGCGGCAAAAAAGCCGGAATTTATACAAGCTTGAAGGCTATGAACGTGGAATGTACTGAGCACCTTTTTGAGGATTATAGAATGTAGATTTTTGCCTGGAACTCATAAGACTATGCAAAACCGGGATGAAAGTAACGCACATTCTTCAACTCACTTTATTGTTTAACTAGTTGTCAGAACCTTAGCGCATCAAAGGGGAGATTTTGCTAGGTCTTGATTGTGAAGAATCATAAGGAACACTCGTTACTGCCAGGGGATCAAGATTAGTGCATTTTTGGAGATGGCGGTTATAAGTCTCCTGACAGTTGACAAGGGGTGCTGGATATTCCAAGCTACTATTAAATTAGGTCATATTGCATAGTTAAACACTAAGGGATAACACAGGTATATTGAGGAATTTGAGAAAAGTAAAAATCTGTCGCAGATTCTGTAACAACTGACACTAGAAAACCGAATAAGAGTTAATCTTCCCTCGGCGGTACTATAAATCATGCTTCGTTGAGACATTTGGAGAGCCACAATTACTAGAGACAAAACTTTGACCTTATAACGTCTTTAGCTGCAGCAAGCGGAATATTGTAAGGGTAAATAAGGAGACTTCACTCATCCTTTAATAACCATGCTTTCACTGCTACTACACCCAACTATAAGGCTTGCAGCCTCGTTCAAGTAGTGATTCAGGATGCGTGACGTCACTGACGAACAACCCAAATTACAGAATAATTTGGAGGAGGCGGCAACAAATTTATCTCCCGTTATAATCATCGTTCGTGCTCTTCTGATATCAGTCCTCATCTGACAGCAAACTAGCATGAATGGTGAAACAAAATTAATCATTGGCGACTTCAATCTAGGCCTGATGAGCTATGGATACTAAATTAGTTGTTTGAACTATAATTTTGTGTTCCTTGTAAGATGTCCCAAAGAAATGCAATGGCAACAGAGGTGTTCAAAGGTTATCTCTTGCGTGACCTTGAATTCGATTCTATCATAATTGGTATTATCCACAAACCCGATTTTTCACTCCGACTCTAATGCATATGAACGCTATCAGAGCTAGCCAAAACCTCAAGCAGCAGATTTAGCCATTGTAAGGCGCCTGTCGTCAAATTTTAACATTTTCCAACATTTTAGCGACGGCTCTATTCCATCAAAAAACTTCGTGCTTTTTACTGTAACCGATAGAAAGGAATGTAAAGTTTCAATATTTGAGATTGTTTTGATCTGGTCATGGAGTTTTGCGTGCTTATTTTAACGTAAGCTTCAAACAAAGAGGAAGTCCCCAAAATCCAATACAAAAATGAATGCGGAGAAATGGAGAGCCTGCAAGTTGGTCCCTGGAACTGAAATGGCATCATTTAAGGCAATTTAGTTTACATTTACTACCACAATTAGGATAATCAATGCCAAAATTGATGTCTTTTACACCTTTTTGCAATCTCGAAAATATCTAGTCATGCAAATTGTAGCCGAATTTTGCACAAATGCGCACAGTTTTTTGAGTTCATGGGTTTATGTGAAGCCATTACAGGTTGCTACGACTTTACCCTACAAGGCATTGTTTCACTGTATTTGAGAGAATGAACATAAAACTAGACAGAATGAGCTCTACGATGCAGGTTTGACTCACTCGGCATCCGCCCTAGACCTTCGACCAAAGAGGAAGTGGTGGGCATGGCTTTTGTCGCGAGCGGATATCACATGCAAGCAGGAATTCTACGTGACTCATCGCATTCTGAAGCGTGTGCTTGTCTAAAGCAAGCGGTAATGACGCCAGCTGGAGGGTGAACAATTAACGAGGAGCCTGATGGAACTGACAAGTACATACACCAGATGGCGGCTTTGACAATGAGGCATTTGGGGAATCAAAAGGAATAAGTGCTCGATCGCAGTTACTTAAATGCAAAGGTTAGCTTTCCTGTGGAGAAAATTGTTGGAATCGAAAAACACTGATATAAATGCACATTAGTTTCACAAACTATAAAGGTTTACTTCTAAACAAAATATATTTAAATGTGGATTTGTCACGACCATAGCTGTGCAAGGGATGGAAGCACTCGCGGATCTCTGAAGGTTGGTTGAGAAAAAATAGCGGGATTTTGACAAGCAGAGAGACTTAGCCTACTGAGACAAGCGATTTCCAAAAGCAACAGTCTATTCAGAGGACTCCAATCGTAAAAAATTGTTGCGCTACGCCTTAAAAAATCTGGTCAGCGCAAGATAGACTTAACTGGAAAATGATTCGACGGATCTGAATAGCATTCTATCGGAAACTTACTAGTTTATGGGAAGCATAAACATTCAAAGAATATAAATAACCGCATAGTGATATATTCATGACATTAGGTAGTAAAAAAATTTCAAAAGTCACATTTAAAAACGGCACGGAAACAGCCTTAGCCTGCGATACTTGAGCATTATTCAGCTCAAAAGCCAAATTTCATATCCATGGGTAATTTTGATATCAACGATACTAAAACAAAACGAAACATGAAGTAAAATATACAAACCAAAAGAATCCGCACTGAACTTGTGGGTACCTCTATTTCATAGTTAAAACATATTTCGGATGATAAATACTATTCCGCCATACTATCGTTGTAAAATGACACTTATTCTAATGCAGCAAGGAATCATCTGCTTTTAACCAAAGAAACCGCAAAAGTAACCGGAACCCAGATCATCATATTGTCTAAATAAAAAAATTTAAGTTAATATGGCAATCAACAGAAGCTCATCCCATAGTTTACGGTAGCAGATGTAATTGTAAGACTAAAAAAGGGTTTAAACGAGACCCACATTGAAAAAAGGGGAATTAGATGGTGAGACAGGCTCCAGTGAATGTGTGTTGCGAGACTGGTGGAAAACGAGAGAGGCCAGGCTTGGGTGTCTAACGGCCGCAGTGCAGACAGTTTTTCGTGGCGCAGTAAAAATGACAGTTGAGAGTTTGCTGTTTACTGGCTGCAATGTCGGTCTAAAGGGGGAACGGATGGTGTTGTTGGAGTTGAAGACTACGGCGTAGTCATCCTCGGAGCGAGATGCAACAGGCGCACCAGTAGGCAGAGTCGTGAATAGCACTTCCGGGTGATGCAGGCAGGATTGATGGTGAAAGTGATGCACATGTATTTGAGGTGTTGTTGATGCTGATTCACCAACAGGTGGGGTAGCCGTGACTGTATCTACGGTTGTAGCGATCACCAAAGTAAGAGGGTCCGATCCTGCCTTAGCAGAGGACATTTCTGCTGCATATTAGTTAAAATCAAAAAGTAAGGACATTTATCTAACTAAAAAAAGGATATAACGCATTTACCATGATTTCAGCGGAAATTAAACGTTGCGAATTAGGAAAAATTTGTTCTGCCTGACACAGTATTAAAGAGACCTACAGACCCGTTTAACTACAATCAGTACATGAATGTAAAGGCCAATGGTTTCACTAAGTAACGTTCCGAATAATAAACAATACTGGACGCTAAGACACAAGAATATAATTACAATATTGCCCATCGTCAAACATAAAACAGTCTCGTACCCTTACTTTCAATAAGAAAATTACCATTTCTGGACCCCAACCGTTTGGTAAATTAACTCTGCAAGCCTTCGCAATTGCTGTAATTTAACAAAAGGTCAGTTTTTTAATCTTTTCCTCATATTTGCATAAGCGACTTTTGGTTGCAGAAAGTAGAGCAACAATATGGCATTGAGGCCAAGATTTTTAATATACTGGGATCTAACCACCAAAATACAAAACAAAACAGCCTCTACGCGGGAAGAAACATACGTCGACAAACCTCAACCGTCCAAGGTCATAGGTAGAAACTAAAATAGAGAGGTGTTCATCATAATTGAAACTGAAGTCGCTAAACAAAATGTACCATTAAAAAAGGATAGACTTATTGCTTTGGCAAAATATATATCCCTAAATAACCCCCAAAAATAATATCTCATGATCATAGCAGCTAATTCTAATACCATAATTTCGCAATAACAATTTAAACACAGTTTAAAGAAAATGGCAAACTTGGTGCAAATAATATTCTATTAATAATATGCTAGATACTGCGCAAGAGTGCGTTACATATTCTGCTTCTCATGCGCCTCAAAAATCACAATGTTTCGTTACGACTTCATCCTGTTGCACACTTAAAAGGCTTGCGATGCCCCAAGACCTCCCCGAAGACATAAGAAGACATAATACTCGGGCAGAGTATATATATTTAGCATACAGAAGGTATTAGGCGTACCAGAGTGGCCAGGGGCCAGCCACCCGGCGAAATACAATGGACAAGACAAAGCGGATCCTCACCAAAACTGGGACTTAAGCAACCATCGTATTGCATGCTATCTGATGATTTCCAAACTTTCACTTATTGACTAACTTGAAGTCGCTTGTGACATTTGACACCTATTCTGGATTGTCATATATTGTCATTAAATCCGGTCCTTACCAATACACCTGGACGCTTTTTGGCATTTCATATGTAACGGTCATTTATTATTATAAAAGAAGGCTCCAATAACATTTTCTAACATGTGAGGCTGTGGAAACTTATTGTCTACCATAACATTTTTAAAAAACAAAAAAGCTTCCCTTTTTGGCGAAATTTTAAGAGATTTTTCTAGATTTTATTTAAATTTTTTATTTCACGGGCGGACTTGACCATTTTAATGGCATTGGCGAGGTGCGTGCCACCTTTAAGATCACGAGTCCCTGCCATTCGTAACTGCTGCACTTTTTCTTCTGATCTATCTAATCACACTGTTACTGGTTTGAATCTGGCTTCATGGAAGAAGAGAAGGAAGCTCCTCCTGTAATTTACGTAATTCTTTATTGTGTTCCACACCATAGTTTGAGCAACCTGTGTTGGTTGAGGAACCTCTAGATTTGATTCGACTGAGTCTGGACGAAAAAGTATTTGTGAAAATGCGTCACAATAGAGAATTAGTTGGTGTTCTCCACGTGAGTGCTGACATTACTTCCCTTTGTAGCTTGCTTTGCTCTACTATTAGTGCTTATTGACTTTACTGCATTATTAATGTCTGTTGCTTTTGCGCTGTCTTCCTAGGTAGTTTCGACTTAAAGTTATCTTTTATTTACAATTCGCAAAGCAACTAAGTACCTGATAATTTACTCTTTAACCAATCTCCCCGCTCCGTGGATAATGGCAAACCAAACTTATTGGAATGACGCCAATCACTTGTTCTATCACTTATAATTCCAGCAACTCTCTTTAACGGTACTTTCTCACGTTATACCATCGGAAGTCAACTTAATTCGTCCACCGTAGCCTTATGTTCCACTTTGCCGCCTTGTTTCCACCTCAGAGATCATTTACCATCATGATGTTAGGGTTTCGACTCCCATCTCAATTTAATCCTCGGCAATGTTGACGAGACACTAACAACGCTGGAACTCGATGAAGAAACCTATGAAGAGATCTACAAGGTATCTTGTTTACCTATCTGATCACGTTTCTAGACGACGAAAAGAAGCATTCCTCTGCTTTTTGTCCGCGGCGATGGCATCATCCTCATATCCCCACCACAGGCGGAACAATGAAATACCCTTTTCTGTGTAGTACGTGTAATGAGATTTATATAACGAATAAAGGCATTTGATGTAGATGTAAGTCATTTCTCAGGGTAGATTAGCCCCGCCCGGTCCCATTCAACATCGTTGTAACCCAGTTTGGCGACCTCCTCGGGGCTCATGAGGTTGTTGTCCATGCGGCAGCGCAGGTAGGCAGCCGATTCGGAGCGACATTTACTGCTGTCCCAGGCGTGTGTATTCATGCAGGCTACCCAATTCTCCCGCATGCTCTTGCACACGCCCTTGTGATCCAGCGGGAAACTTCCCTTGTCTGGAGGCCTGACTCTGTTCCGTTGATTCACAAATGCCCCCGCGTCTCCCATTTTACTTGTTTTGACTTGAGAAAATACGCTTTGAGGATTCAACCAAATCATATCAGCACCTCGAGAGGAATATGTTAGAACAAAGGCATAATGCTTAGGAGTCGTGGAACATCGTCTTCGCCCTTGAGATAGCGCCAAATATTTGCACTTTAATGGGTACTACTTTACCAATTGGGAGGGGCCACGCATTGGCTAGGAATACTAGCTTCAGGAAAGGATCCTCGTTACTAGATTTGAATCGAACACGTTGCGAAATCCACGGCTTTCTCGACCTGACCGAAGGGGCTTCGGCACGTTCGTTGTCAGCATGTGATTTGGCGCCGGCGCCCGTGCTAACAAACTTGGAAACTCAACTGTCGCCCAAAGGACCAGCAAGTATGGTCGGAGTATGACATCCTTGTTTTAAGCTTTAGCAACCCCTCAGCGATACAGGTCAGCACATCCAGTTCTGATAATCTGATGAAGGACACACTTCGAACATAACCCTGGCAACAGACGTGCAAAGACATATGCGAATAAAACCGAAAGCTTCACAAACACTTTTCCTACTCGATGTTACGGATAGTTTGTGAGTTGATTTGTGATAGTATCATATTCTCCCGGTTTTGGAGGGCCGCGTGGTCTCCAAACAAGTCAAGATCATTTCAATGCTTAGAGAAAACACAAACTCAGATTAGAAATTAACGCTCGTGGCTCAGAAGAATCACTAGCCCTAGAAAATGCTGAAAGCATACACAAACATACAAATGAGAAGATGAATTTCTTCGAGATATATACATATATGTATATACATATATTTATCAAACGAAGACCTTTGAGGGACCTAAAATAGAAAAAAGGAAGGCTGGGTTGCTTATAAGGCAGTGTTACTATCCACCACGGCTCACCTGCATAGGGTTAAACACTGATTGCAGATTCCGCATTTTTTTGCTGCGAGGGGGCCAAAATGCCACCACAGGCAGAGTCGTCGAAGTTTATACGACTCTGCATAGCAGTAGTAATGCCAATTTTACCATGACTCCGGGTACTGCTGCAGGAAGACCTCGTAGAAGTACAAGCGAAGGAAACGTGGAAAGGAGTCCATCTTCATTAGCGCAAATATCTGCAGTATTCAAGGCCAAAAAGCATTAAGTAGTAAGCGAACAGACATAGGCTGGAGTAAAAAGGCGTGGTCTTTCACCTCATTTTGTGCCGCTGCAAACATACCATGATAAGGTCAGGAAAAAGAACTGAATACACTGAAGGCTACTTGCGCGTTTACATTAACACGAGATGTTGCTGAGGGTAAAAGGTACTATTTATTGCAACCGTTTCTTAGTCTAAAACGAAGGACGAGAAAAATTCAGGTAAGCACGATGTGCGAATAATACTCGGTCCCAATTCAACTCAAGCTGTGCGCTTGCATACAGTGTGAACTATGTAAGAAATTATCAACCTCAAGTGAATATACCTCTTTTGGATTAATTTTCTTCTTGAATGCTTCTATAGCCAGCCAGGAGAGATTTTCTGAGCTGAAGTCCTAGAAGAGGGGTCGAGATTGCGTTTCAAAACAGATTTTACGCAAAAGAAGGCTTGTGCTTTGACCTCCTCAAGGAAGAGTTCGAAGGGAAGAGAAGCGGAGGAGGACGAGATGCTCTTTTCGGACAATCCAGTGGGTGGGGTAGACCCAGAGGGGACTTGAGTAGAGTTTACTAAAGCATGCCTACGATCATTGTCTTGAAGGTCCCTTCGAGGCAGAGTAGTTCTGAGGACCTACAAATCAGCTTTTACCACTAAGAATGCGTATTAACAATAAGGGCCCTAATAGAGTACTTTTTCATGAATTCAAAAGTCGAGGGATATTGAATAGCAAGGAAGGTGTGAGCCTGGTTACCTCATCTACGCTATTGAAGATAACAAAATCGCATAATCATTTTTGTACTTCGATATGGATAAAGTTAAAGACTTTGAAGACCAAAGTGAGATGGGATTGCGTTATTTATGGGAAAAGCGTAAACATATTATCGGATATTACCATGGGAGGGATTATACTAAGGGATATTTATAGGTATGAAAATGAATTTGATGAAATCCAAACTCAAATAGTAGATTTTGAATTAACTTTTGTTAATCCGGGGTTTTAAATCGCTCAGCGATCACAGAGAGATTTCTTCAAGCTGTTTGACATTGGCAAAGTTTTCGGATTATAAGCGACGGGTATACTATTGTAATCAAAAAAGGGATAAACTATTTACTGGATGGATTGCACCACGTACAGCTTAACCAACCCATTCTAAATAAGCTAATCGCAATTTACCGATACACTTGATTTACTGAGTCAAAGTGAATAGAGAGATTGGATGGAGAGTGGTTGTATACAGGGACTGATATTTGCAGGCATAATCGAATCAGATAAGCAATACCTTTAAGATATCACGAACTTCAACAGCACTATTTTGAATGTGGATTTTCCCCTTTGATAAGGAGTCTGGATGACCTACCACTCATTCCCTTTCTGCCGCAGTAAGCACCCGGAAAAAGTGAAGCGACTTTGTTAACCCACCACCTAAGTACTAAAAGAAAGTAAGGTTCGTAAAAGGATGTAACTTACAGAGGCCTGGATGTTCCACAGCAAAAATGAGCATATTCAAGGCCGTTTTCCAAAATCTGCGAAAGAGCAGGTGGTCAAAGGTGGCATAAGGCAAAAAGTGATTCATTTCGATGTCATAGACAGAGGGGCTTGACATGAACCTGGGCTCCCAGGTTAAGCAAACAAGGAGCCAAACTGTTGGAAAATTGTTGTAATAGTGGGTTTAAAGAACCAAGAGAAAGGTGTTCAAGATGGGAAGAAGTGAAAATGCCATAGAAATTAGGCATAAGCTTTTGACTTCCCGTTCCTACAGATTCAAAGCAAAGTAAAAAGTGAAGACTCAGAAAAGTTTTCGTAGCGAAAAGTGCTGCAAAATGAGCACAAATGCGGCGATTATTAAAGGTTTATTTAATAACTTATCTAGGTAGAGAATGACCCATCATATATTTAGCCAGAAATGAGTAAAAAATACCCGCCTTCAGCTATTCTCCCTCAAGGTATATAAAACAGAGAAAGGTAAGAAAACTAATGAGACATGGGGAACAACGAAGAAAACCATCTGGGAATAAGATATAAGAATAAATCATGCCAAACTAGATCACAAGCTCGAAACGACAAAAGCACAAATCAGAGTGACGAATTATACATCACGCTGAATTTTGTTAGGAAAAACCAAACACACCAGAACCCACATAGTCGAATCGATCACATGGCCGTAGGTAAGTCACAAAAAACGTACAGGCAGCGCTAGTAGCAAACAACGGAAGGAAAGCGCACACAATCACACTAATTCTACTGCTTTCTTTGTTGTACACATTGCACCGTAGAAAATATAGAATTACAGCCCTTACAGCAAAATAGGATTAGTCTACACTTTCATTAAAAAAGAAGACAAAACAAACTACTTGCTGGATTTCCTGCAAAATTTTGTTTTCTGATCTACTGAAGTAAAACTTAGACGTTAAAAAGAACAGACTAAAATGTACTCTGCTAAATTCCAAATTCGATGTAAAATAATTATATCGCAAATTTTACTTTAATAATCTAGTGCATGATTGTACTACTTTTTACATGTAAGCTTGACATGGTGTTTTTCTTCTGCAAAAGAATGAAAAAACAATAAAAATTAAACAAAAGTTTGATAAAGTATTTAAATAATACAGCACCTTTTTACCCTGTCAAAAGACTGTCTTGCCGGGCATTGTTTGTACCTGTCTACTGTACGGCGGGTCCAGCAGTTCCCTTGCTGTGTTACTGTGATTAGTAGGTTGCGGGAAATGGAGTTTCCCAATCTTGGCGAACAATGTGCTGTAAAATCCTGTCAGATGTTAGGTGCGTTTGCTTTTTCGTACGCTGGTTGTTTTTTTACCTATCTTGAGGGCAATAACAGGGGCGTTCTTCTGGTGGCGTATTTTTTTGTATAAGCGTCAATATTTTACTCGGAGTAGGAACGCAAATGCACATCATTGTCAGAAACTTTTAAATGGGTTTAAGGTTTTTTGTGTGAGCTTTTTGGAGAATCAACTGTTTACCTGCTTAGTTACTGCCCCTTTTACACTTCCGGCTTCTTTTACAATGCCTTTAATGAGATTTATTAGTTTAGGTGTTGGACTGCTCTTCTGGCCTATTTTTTGAGTTTTGCATGATTTATTGTGAAAACTTTTTTAATGGCGCATTTTTTGTCCTGATACATCGTCTCGTGCTACTTTGCCCAAATTGATGGGCTTTAAATGCTAGACGTTGTGCCTTTATAGCACTACTACGTTGTCTGAATTTTAATTATCTTTTGTCATGGGTAGCTAGCTTTATTTGAACTTTTGAATCATTTGATATGTTCTTCAAGTGCATTCATGGGTTTTCCGTTAATGCTGAAGTGCAAGTTTTAGTGGTGTGATTGTATCGCATGCAGTTTCGAATACGTGGTCGGTTCAATTTTTAGATTTCCTGCCAGTTAGATGTTCAGGCTGTCGTAAAGTGTTTTGTAAGAATCATTACTTCTTTGACTGTCATTCTTGTTCCGTCGGCAATGCGAAGGAACGCCAAGTTCCTGTCTGCCCGCTGTGCGGTGTCCCTGTTCCCATTGGTTCTGACGAATCTGCTGACATTAAAGTTGGCCACCACATTGACACAGCATGCAAGTTTCAACCAGCTCTTGCACTGAAAGGGAAAGTAAGTGGTCCCCTTTTTAGGAAGCAAACTCTGATCTGGTTTAAGTGATCTGCTCAGCTTCGATTATCCTTCTAACAGATATTTAACAATGCCTGTTCGGTGCCGAGGTGTAAAAAAAATGAACTGGTTCCTTTGCGCTGTGAACGATGTCACCTCAACTACTGTATTAGCCATCGAAACGAATTGGACCACAATTGCAAGGGCATTTCAGCAGCTTCCACCACCGGAAAGAGAATGTCTGCCTCTGGGGCCGCAGCAATTAGGCGCGCTGTCACTGGGGTAATTTCCTCCTAATTGATTTATTATTCGGTCTTCTGTACTCCTTTAAAGATTCACTCTCTTGGAGTTGATTATCTCCAGAAAACAATGAATCGCCACATTACTGTTCTCTCGGCTCTAGATAACAACCTTTTTAGTCATCACGCCACGCACACTAGTTGAATCTATATTAGTTAAAGGTACATTCCCACCCCGTGCTTTGAAGCAGCAGATATTGGTCGATGTTAGTAGGATATCTTAGCAATGGGGTGTGCTATCGACAATCTCCTCGTGATCCCATACTAAAGTGTAATTTTTTACTCTTTTTCCTCAAAGCAATCTAACAACGGTTTCAACAATAATAGTGCAGCAATGAGTAAAGCTAAACAGGAGGAGGAGGACAGACAACTGGCGCTGGTGATCGCTGCTTCGATGGAAGCCGAGGAAGAGGAGAATCGTCGGAGGCGGCGTCAGCAATATCAAACATCGGCTCCCTCAGATAACGGGTGCAATATTGGCTAGGTTTTAACATAAAGTGATGTGCCAACCAGTCACTGAATTTATGCAGTTTCCAATGTTTCCTTTTATTCCATTTTTTCTCCGTCCGCTCTACACCCAAATCTTTTCAATCTCAACGCAACATAGTGTATTCCTTATTTCTAGGAAAACAGTATTTTTAATTTGATTGATTGAATCAAATATACTAGAATGAAATGATAGCGTGACCACTGTTTGGGAATTGCTATTGCCACTCAAAATACATCCTCTGTGTATTGTACTTCCGTGATGATTTATTAAAAAAACCATTTGTGCTTGAATCAGTCATAATTCTGATCTGACTTGTCTTCAGCCAAATTGCTTGTTCTATATCAATGGCGGAGAGTAAACTAGCGAGCTTCTCATGCATACTCCCTAATCTATTTGAATTCCGTGGAAGAGTTAGGTAATGCGAAGACAACTTAGATGGTGCGGTCGGAAAAAGCAAACAAGGATAAATTTGAGGGAAATTAGGACGTTAACTACTACTTCCCTGCTTAGGTGTCATGACTACCATCCGAATTATTGTGCTAAGCATCATGGAATCCCCTGGGATGATTTCATGATCGTAAGGAGGGGAGGAGTACCTTTAAATATTTTGAGGATTATTCAACTCCAGTGTTACCGTCACACCGCAATACGGCCTTAAACTGTGAGACTAGGGCTCAGGAAATTCAGTAGGTCCAAGGTGGCTAAATACATCCAGCATAATCTTCCCAACTTCTATGGGTATAAGAAAACATGAATACCAGAGGGCAGTTGTCACAAAAAATAATTTATTTAAACCTGACTAACAAACAGGGATATTTACAAGGGCCATGGTGGCTAGTTTTCATCTTCACCGCCGGTCAGTCCGGCGTAGAGACGCAGCGGACCCTTCAAGTTGCCACCAGCCAGGACACCCTCAAATTCGGCTCGGCTGGGGATGGATCGTTTGGACGCTCCTGTCAGTTGTTGCATAAAAATTTCCATTGGGCCTGCAGTAATGCAAAAGGAGAGGTTCTCCTGACCCCGTATAGTGCAAGTGACTGTAGCAAATCAGATGACAAAGTGGGTCTATTCCACGCCGGATTTTAATGAGAAAACAGTTTACTTGTTCCCTGTGTAAATTCATTAGCATAGAGTAGAGGTTTATCAATTGTGCGCAAAATGCAAGAATAAAGGTGAGATGTCAATCAACTTTAATTAATTTGTGTAAAACTAAATAAGATAAATATGAAAAGTATAGTTCTTGATGGAAAAACGCATAAGGTATGATTGTTCAAACCTTCCAGAAGCGGAATGTATGTGTGCCATAAATATGAGGTAAGGGGGTTTTGTTGAATTTCAGCTAGTGTTTCAGGTGGCCAATACTGTGTGGAACGGAACTTACAAGGGGCGAATACGATATTCAATGCAGTGCCGTTCCCAAACACAGTTCTGTATGCAAAAAGGAACAGGAAATAGCTTTAACAAACCGAAAGAATGGAAATAAGGAGCTTATTTGGACACCCACACAAGTTGTTTATGAAAATGGACAATACCCACTGGATTTGCCAAGCGGAAATCAAATATGTATTTTAAGCGACATAATCCCCATTTCATTATGGCGTCTGCTTTCGGATGTCTTAGCGTGGCATTCTCACAAATGACTTAGCACATCTGGTCACAAAATATGGGATTTCTCGCTCCAGTCACTGGACTAGTGACAGAAAGATCATACACCTGGGTATGAATTTTCTGAGGGCGAAATCCAACTATAGGCAAATATCCTTGGCTTACCATAGTGTGAAAACATTTTTTTGTGCATAGATAAACTAGAAATACACAAATTCTGTTCACGACGTTAAAAAAATCGGTATTATTAAAGAACATGATAGATGCGGAGTTTGCAAATCAACGACTTTCTATAGGCTTTACTTCCCTAACTTTCGCGCCAAATTGGGTCGTAGAACTACAGCAACTAACGCTCGATGCGAACATGACTGTTCCAAAGCATTTTAGAAATGCACCGTTCTCCAACATAACCTATATCACATAAGAATGTAATAACACTGACTGACGACTACCGACTCCTAAAATTAACAAAAAACCAAAGAAATCATATTTCGACGTACTCGTTATCAGGTAGTGACGTGGCTGCGCCTGGCTTAGACATTCCGCCACTTTTGTCTCTGAGTTGGTGCTTGACTTCAGAGAGGCGAGAGAGAGGACTGCCGGCTATGGGGTGGCCGTTGATGAGAAGATTTTTTGCCTTTGGAATTAGTTTCGAGAGACGTTTGTTGGCAAAAACAACTACTTCTGCCTTCTTCTTGAAAGTGGCCATCAGCTGGCTGTGGTCTTCCGAGATGTCAGCGTATTGCGATAGCAGGAATTCTAGCTCAACAGCCATCGCCACAGGCTGGCTACAAAGAAGGTGGCTGGAACCAGTCTCTTTGGGAACCCTAGTGACAAAGACGATGTGTGAAGTCGCAAAAAGTGGGAGTAGTGGGGAGCTAAAGCGAACTCACGGATGGGATTTGATTGTCGCGAGGATGGAATCAACGGCTTTCTCACAGGCGGCGGATTCCGCGACTTCGAAGAAGTCCTTCGTCATATGCTCGAAAAGCGGAGTCGCAAGCTATAACGAGTGACATAAAAGCACCCTACTTATTGCAAAATAGTAAAAGACTTCAGTTTACCAACGCAATTAACCGATTTAGATGAAAAGTGATGATCCACATTTTAGGATAGAGTAAAACTGAAGTTAACTCATATCGAACCTCAGTTTAGAAAAATCAGAGAGAAAGCGTACTTCGTTGCCACCGATTAACGTAGCATCATTTCGCAAAGGCCAATAGCGTGTGCCCCTTTCAACAAGTTGTAGCGCTATGAAAGTGAACATGAAGAGATAAGTGAATCCACACTTCTATCAAGAAAATATGTTTTTTTGTAATTTCAATAATGTCCCCTCCGGTTGGTCTTTCTTGCTTAAAAACTCCCATGCAAATAGCTATAAATATTTCAAAATGTAGAATTCCACGTCTGTTAGAATGATGAACTCATAAGTGAACGTTCCGCACACATTATCCGACTTATGAATGATTGTAGCTCCCCACAGCATAGAGCTTCGAGAAGTGACGGCTAAACAGCACCTCACACTTACTACAAAATTCTTCAACTAAGGAATGGCAAGTTTCAAAATAATACCACTCGTTCCCTATAGTAACGCTCACTATACGCGACCCAGCGACACACCTCTGATCTTGGGAGTGATAGAATAGGCAGAGTTGGCAGAAGCGGGCGCAAGCCTGGCCGGAAGAAGGAAGTTCTTAACAAAGTCGATAACCCGAAAGTCGGTTTCTGGAATCTCTAACTGGCGAACGGGGAGAGCGGGCAGAATTGGTGGATGGGAGAGGGGTGCGGGGCTCGCCAGCACGTGTAGATACATCACCGAACCGTGGCAGAGGAGGAGGAAGACGTCCGCCGAGGTCTGCGGGCCCTCCGGCGATGTGGAACCGCGGTAAAGGTTGTGCGCTAGTACCACACACCTACCTAGAGATGTAACAGCTCCGCCCATAAACGCAGCACAGGATCCGCAAAAAATGGAAAAGAGAAGTTGAGAACCGGATGCAACCCTATTTGAAATGTCTTATAAAACGCACGTGTAATGAGCCGGAACAAAAGGGAGAGGGAAGTTGGAAATTGAGTAGGACTCACCTCCCAAAACGAATTGCGATAAGCAGACAGACGATCGGGTATTCACGGCCGCCATTGTCACCCTGAAGGCTCCAACGCTATAGCGAATGAGTACTGAAAACCAATATTGAGGGCAAAAAGCGTAGGCTAAACGGTAGGGTGAAAATACCATTCCATTACGTATCAATCGCAATTATGTTTGATTTTGTGCAGTTCAACGATGTTCACCAGTGCTTTGCACAGGAAAATGTTGGTAAGCTGAGTAAACCACCGAAAGCATGCCCCGCTGTCAGTAGAGAATCTTCTCTCCCTCGTTGTAAACAATTTCGAATGCATATTCATAGGATCAGTACCTATCAATAAACAGACACCACTGTCCATTGTGGTGAATAACCGGGTTAGGTCGGTGCATTAACGCTTCATGCGAAAACCAACTACTGTGGTGAATTATTTTTACCAAGATTCGCTTTTATGCCATGACAAAGAAGTTATGCAAAATTCCGGATGATTCCTCTTTGCGCACTTGCTCATCTCATAGAGTAACAGCTATCAAAATGATCTACCTCACCCGTAGGCTTGGAATGGGTTGATATGGTGGAACAGCAAATTTGAATCCACATACAAGTCAAGATGCGTCAGACTTTTTCCTTGACGGATTTCAGTCCAGGCCCATAGTCTATTTTCAGAAATTAAATCGCCAAGCAGAGCAGAACTACTCAAACTATCAAAGCATCAATTAGTCAGGACAGACATTATCTGATGTTAGAAAACGGCTTTTCGCCTGAAGTGTGTCCAAAAAAGGCACTTGAAAGGTGATGGTGATCCAAAAAACGGAAAAACGGCGTCAAGTTGCGTATTTACTTAGTATAATGCTTAAAGGTCTGGAGAATGCAATTGGTAATAGTAAATGTCAACAGAAAAGTAGCTAAACAAGCTCACAGTTATCAACTGGTCTGGGGCTGATCCATTTGATCCCCAGGGTTTTGGAAAATCCTGAGGAGGGTTCTTGAAACATTGTCTTGTCAGCCTCCTGGCGTAGGTAGAGGCGTTCGGCGAGACCTAAATGCTGCAGGAAGTCATGTGCCTTTGATTCATGCAAAAGCTCAACGCCGTACATAGTCGAGACGGCGTCCGCGTTGGTCTCCTCCTTCATAGGAATCTCCTGCACCAGAGTGCTCGCCATACCGAGGTTGCGCTCCGCCAAACGCATGAGAGCTCGCAACACAGAACGGTTGTTCTTCACAGGCACCCGCTGATACAACATCGTGTGCTTCTCCGTTGAAAACAGCTAGAGAACAGTAAGGATTATTTCGTAAATGTTTGAGCTCAAAATTTATAAACCTACTTCATTTTCCGCAACATTTTCGTCAGTGGAAGAAGATAAATCCAGATCAATGAAAATCCACTCAGTGCTGTCAATCGGGAGATAGCTAAAGAAAACGTCAGTAAGAAAAGCATACCTACCCTGTTTCTTGAGGTGGATTTTGCAGTTGTTCTGTGAGAATGGGTAGCCAATTGGAGAGCTTTGCGCGCATATCAGAGCCAATGATGAGCACACATCCAACGTTGCCCGTATCCGGCCATTGTGTCTGATATGGAGTAGGCATGTGCAGGACATTTTTACATGAATATAGACCAGGCATGCCTGGATAGTCTAGATCTACCGAAGCCACGGAATCGCCTTCTGTGGAGAAGGCCTTCCAGACGGCTTCTAAGGACTGATCTTCTTCGTACCACAATGAAAGGATTTTTTCCTCTGAATCCACAGATATGACAGAAATCTACGGTGATGAAGCGATACGATAGCATAACAAATAACATACCGGCCTGGAATCGGAAAAGAGATCAAAGGTTATTCGACAATACTCCAAGACGGCCTCCACGACGAAAGACCAAACATTCCGCTGAATAGAAACCTTCGTATTTACCACATCTGACCGTCGGTTCGGACCTCTGTCAAAATGGTAAATGTCCCCAAAAGGTTTGTAGACATCCTTTGTTTTGTGCATCATGAAAACAGTTTTCATTGAATTTACGAGAACCATTTTTCAGGCATAGGCAGTCTAAAATAAAGTCGACGGATGAAGTGATTTAGTCCTTTACAGGACTAAAAAGGCAACTCCAAACAATAACGTTACGCGAATAACATGAGACTATTAATAATAACCAAGAAAAGTCCACACATATGTTATGTGCGAACTACCTTAAAAATGAAAAAACGGAATAGTTCGTGGGTAAAATTTGGTCCTTCGAGGGGAAGTAAAAAGCTTATTTGCCACTACGACTTTGACGTGTTTACCTAAAGACCACAAATGACATTTTGAGGCATATATCAAAGAGGGTTTCCTAAGCTGTGATTACGGTGCGCATGTTCCACTGCACTCCCAGCAATTTTCTTGCTGTGTAGCATTAACTTAAGTAGATCTATGAATATGGTAAAACGTAACTAGTGTTTGTACTTCTCTGCCGTCACTAGAATATTACCAACAGATTCATCAGAGACAATTCAGGTCTCTAAGAGCAAGCTAGACATTTGAGCAGGGATCCCAATTTATGCTGTTATACGGTAGTTATTTGACTTATGCATATGAAAATCAGACTAAGCATCATACGATGCGTTGAAAACATCGCAATAACCCGAGGCGGAATTTCGATTGGCTAAAATGACACAAACATATAGTGCGCCAAAATAGACCATTTATTCAAATAAGCCCATGTTCAAAACTGTTAGTAATGGAACTGCACAAGGCTATGTTTTTAAATGCTTAATAACATTACCAACAAAGTTTTTATTGAAAAAAATAATCTATTAAATATCTTTTCATTTCAAATGGAATAGCATGCAAAAATTGAGTTATTTGCAAGTTCGTTTTGCCACGACTTTATTAATGCAATGATAAATAATAAGACCTGTTATAAGTAGCCCAAACTATAACAGAGCTTAAAGTAAATTAAATATTATGGTGGCAGCATGAGTGCTACAGTGAAAAATTCCCCTAATTGTGAGAATGCCACAGTAATTCAGATTTTTAGTTATTTTACCCCACTGACTATATTTAAGTCCGCAAATGCACATTCAATTTTTAAATGCACTTTGGTTGCGTTAATTAGTCAGCCCTATAAAGTGCCAGATATGCTAATCCTAAATGGGGTGCTTAGGTGATATTTTAGATTTTGCGAGGTTTTTCATTACTGATCGTAATGGGAAAAGGATTACTTTTAAGACTCTTAGCCACAATCAGATGGATGTGTAAATGACTAGAGATTTAAAAATATCAGAGTTGAAATTTCTCCCTCTACCCCCACTGATATCTTCATTTGAGTTACCTTTCGGTTATATTTGGGTGACTCAAGCGGTACTGTCGATAAAATTTGTTAAAAATCGTGTAGATCTTCCACTTATATGCATGTTTAGTTAAATCCTCAAATCAGCTCTCACCTTGGTGAACAGATCTCACCTCACAATCCCAAAGTGTTATGTTACCTCAAGGATTATCTTAGAGTGATTTGGATGATACCTTAAAGTAGCTGCTTCTAAAATCGGCTTTGGTGGTTTTTGCTAAGCATGATTGCAAGTCTGTTGGGTTTTTATTGGTATTTTTCACTTCCTTACCCTGTTTCTTACAAGGAACGAAACGTTTCAATAATTGCGAAACATGCTTGCAATTTCTTCATGTGGTATATGATTATTGTGGATCTTACATTGAGCTATAAATATATCACTTTAATCGGTTTTGAAACATCCTCCTGAACCCTTAAGTCAAAAGTTTTAAGTGATTGCCTTTTAGTAGATAATCCTCAATAAAATTACTCCACCGACGACCTGATTAAAATAAAAGTTAATTAACTAAGAGAAGGGGCTCACAAAGGAAGATGAAAAAAAATCACAACTGAACGTGACGGCTCGAGAATGTAAATGTAATTTAATAATCCCAGCACAGGGACAGCCCATCCGAGGGCGGTTGTGGTAAGGCATTGAGGAATCTCATAACAAAACTCCAATGAATACTCTACTGCCATACTATATTCTATCTTACATTAGGAAATTTCCAAGGATGTTGGTAAATTTGAAGGCTTTCAATGTTCCCCTGTTCCCCTTTTTGCCCTCTCGCCTCACCACACAAATTCCTCCATCTTTTTACACGCTTACACCGCGATGTCAATACTAATTGGCGTGTGTTAGCACTTCCTTGGACTATCAGGCAACATAAGAAGCAAAAGCCTCCACATTCAATCACTGTCCGATGAGTAGGTGTGGGTGTGTGCGCGTACATTCGCATTGCAGAACCTCAGTGTGTTTTTCACGCCTTGGCACCATCACCAGCTGAGCCATTGGGGGTGAATAACCACTACCATCAAGGAAATGGAATGATTATCACGGATACGCATATACATACACACACGCGCTCTCACACATTTTCTATTCTTTCATTTGTCTTTCTTCATAGCCCCTAATTAATGAGGTGTTGTCTGCACCCATTCTTCACACGAATAGGCGTGTATATGTGTGCTACAAATAATGCAACACACAAACCCAGATGCGTTGGAGGAAGAGAACACATGCCGCTGCTGCTGTGCTGCTGCAGCTGGAACATGCAGCGCCGTTATTGTAAAGGTGTTTGTCACAATGAGAGGGCGTTTTTTGACATGTTTGTGGATTCACATCTCATAGTCGTGTAGTGCAGTGCAGCACGCCGCAGCAGTAATCTAATTTGATGCGAGACATTGTATCCTTGCTTTAAACCTGCCCAAGTAAATGACTGTGCCTCACATCCACCCAGGAAAAAAGGCCTTTCATGTAAACATGCATATTTGTGCTACCGTAATGGAATGGAAGTGCAGTTTTGTGGATGATTGAAACTCTTGTTGCTTCTGTGTGATATTCATGTGTGGTATAATCTCTCCAAACATCCGCTGCTTTAAGGTAACAGCAAAACTGATTATTCGTCTTTCCTTAAACAAAGCAAATCGTTTTAGACTTTTAGAGATTTCAAAAGTGATATTTGCAAAGCAAAAAGATAGAAATAATAATAGTTATATTAGTAATCATGGTAACATGTCCCATTGTTTTATTTACTGCCGCTTTTCCCATTAGGCGTGGACCTCAATTGGTTTAGTTTGTAATGGCATTTTAAAAGCAGAGTTAGAGGAATAAACTCGCTTATTTGATTCGTATGCATAATATGTATCCCCATATTTGATAGGCAATTAAGTACTACATTGGTTATAAAGCCCATTTTATGCACACTTTGTCGGAATTTAAAAAGTACTTTAAAAAACTGCCCCGGTCTACGATGGAGAGCATTTCAAAGAGTACACAACCATTTTTGCTTAAACTCACAATAATTAAGTTCTAGGCGAATCCACACACTGAAGTCATACAATAGTTTTGCTTCTAGCCTGAACGGTTAACATCCAATAACTCCATAAGCACCTTTACCATTATTTTCCAAAATTCAAATTAGTGAAATGAACTCCATATTGGAAGTTGCTTGCACGATTAAATAAATCAAATAAAAATATTACCCAGAGCTGGGTCTGAAGCAAAATTAGGGGTTTTCAGAGTCACTTATAGTGGCAGGGGAGCTCCCCAAGTCTTTCTTAAACCGGAAAGAAGTGATGATACTAGGAGAGTAAGTGTTTTGTTGACGTGGCGACGGGCATAAGGACTACTGGCACGATCCAGAGGCCAATCCAATGGCGGAGCTCCCAAATGCTCGATTGCCAAAGTCGAGAGTTAAACAAACGATTAAAGTATTACAGCAGACTTACTGACCGATGGTTAGGTGATTTGATCCAGGTAATTGAAAGAGTTTAACAAAATTACTCGAAAGTGCTTGCTAAATACAAAAACTTTAATTAAATTGGTTAGATGGGATGAGCACAGACTTCCCCACACTAAAAACTATCATCAAATTCTCGCCCACCAGATTTTCTTGATAAGTCTCGTTTTTTTCCAGGGGCATATTTTAGTTTGTACCTGTTGGTTTATCATGCTGATTTATAACACTTTTCTGCTAAATAAAAAGCTAAAAAACCCATTCTACGCAAAGAAGTTTCACTTCTGACGCACATTTACTCAAATGCATTCAAACATAGTTATACCATGAGTTACTCCGTATTTTTCTAACCAAATCCTAAATTATTTAACTTGATAACCAAAACTGTATGATATGACGATTTACCCTAAAAATTGTATGGCAATTTCAAAATCCAATTTCAAGTCATTTAATTGCCTTTACACGAATCTGCACTTTTCGACTGCATTGTTGTGGGTTGACGGTCTTTTGGAACAAAATGTGGAAAGTCATTATGCTGTCAAGCCTTTTAAGTGAGTCTAAAACACAGCATTCTTTTCAACTCTTTGCTTCATATTTTTAAACTGCTAATCGTGCTTTGAAGGGAACATCCAAATAGTGTAAAAACTTTTCAGGACTTGAAAGATGTTCATACGCAATGGATTATCCTAAAATAAGTGGAAATAAATGATTGGAGGAATGATTACGATTTATAAAAGCCTTCTACCAATAGAGCCCAGGTAAATGTAATTTACTGGCCCATCAATCCTCAAACACCTGTCAAAAAAATTTGCCAAGTCCCGTTTTTCTGAGGCGGACGTAATCGTTCGTAAATCATTATAGATGATATGATCAAGGGCTGCAGATGGCCTGCATGATAAATTAATTGGCTAGATCAGGAAAGAGCATAACATCCGTTTCATTTGCTCCATGAAATTTCAGCTTTTAATTGCCATATATAATGCAAAGCAAATGAGAGTAATAGAAATACGCAAATGCATAAGTAAATGGAGCGTTAAAACTAATAAAGAAATGAGTAGGGATGGCGCCTCGAGACTTCCCTAAAGACGAAAAAAGCTCAACACTGTGAGCAGAATATGTATTGTCAACTAATGGAAGGGACGGGAGACTACTGGCATGGCCCGAAGGCCAGGCCACCTGGCGGAGGTACAATAGCAAAGCCCCAAGCGGTCCGTCACCAAAACCAAGGCTTAAACAAACAATTAAAATATCGCATAGTTATTACGGTAAAACTGATCATATCGAGCAAATTAATGTTAGCCTTTTTAGCGCAAGTAAAATTTCTCTTTTTTATCTCACTTTCAAATGGAAAAACACTTCCCCAACACATTGTTAGCGTTGTTTTTATGCTGAGTTAAAATGTAGGGTGAGTTGTAACGCATTTACTGCTGCAAATAATCACAATATTTAATATTGTGCGATATATTCACCAATATTTCAGTTTCAAAATCTTGGAAAGATGAAATCCACCAATGATGCCACAATTTAGGTGAGCAACAATATCGCCTTTAATTGATGAATGCCTTCTACCGGTTATCAAATGGAGATGCCTGCGATTTCGTAAGCGTAACAATTATACGATCTGGGTTTTGGGGTATGAAAATTTAATAATGTGTGACGCAATGAAGTTGAACACTTATTTATTTTGTTAATTCGGATGAGGTTTATTTACATACGATAAAATTTATGAAATCCTACGGGTTTCTAATCAATTGTGTAGCCGCAGATTTATTTAAGGTGGCATAAAAAAACCAGCATGAGGAAAACGTATTATTCAACTAATAATTACTTCGCTTTTAAAAAAAACCATAAATCGGCATGTTTTTGCTACAACAGTTGCAACGGTAACTGGCTATGCTCCATTTGTGTTCTTAACTCACAAAAGAATCCTAACTTTTCCTGATTTTCCACCACATTAGATGTGAGAGGTGCGTTTGTTCTCGTAGATTTACACAATCCATATAGATAAGATTTTCCATTCCCAAAAGGGGAAAACAGGTTTATTGATAAGGGCCAATTATTGTTGAAAGTACCCATTCCGTTGCACCAAACAGTTGTCAAAAATATTCTTAGCTCTATTTAGCGTCCTTTCGCCTAAAACGCCTATTACTAGCTGGAGAACCATTGTTTTGTGAAATCATTGTGTAGAGCACCTATTTCAGGCGGAGATGGTACTACACATTTTACCAGACAAATTTGTTCTGTAGTTTTATTTAAAGTCATTTATACTTTAATCGTAGATAATTCAAAGAATTAGTTAGATATAATTTTCGGTCCCCAAAATAGGGTAAAGTTAACCTCTTTATCGAGAAACGCTGTTGATCATTTTCGTGAAGTTCTTTCATTAATTTCTTATTTTGTCGAGATTTAGTTTAACATTGACCACTTTAGTAGAAGTAATAGGATAAGTAGCAATTGTTGGCTCTGATCTACTTATCTCTCAAGTCACAAAGGAAGAGAAGTCGAGATTAGTTTTCCATCTTTCGTAATGAAACCAAGGCATTTATGCCACTAGAACTCATAAAAATTACATGCGATTGTCATTGCCCGAAGAGGAATATTATCACTTTAAAGCAACTCGATTATGACCTATGACTTTCATCAGGTTCTACCAAAAAGGTCTTGCTTACTTAGTAGTCTTCTGATGGCTCTCTCATCCTTGGCAATCCCATTCTTCCTACTCTCTGATATTCATGCTTACTGCTCCTTTCCTATTCTGAGCAAAATTGTTTTTCAGTCTCATGTGATTTTGAAAACTTTACATCAACGACAAAGGTAACATCATTATGTCAATCTTACATGAAATCCGTCAAAAATAACGTTAGGTGACTACTTTGACCGAAATCATCCAAGTATTTACATCATCAGATAGGTCTGACACGCTCCCTCATTTAAAAAGGTAAAAACAATCCCTACTTTTGATTTCAGTGTTTACAAAGTTTGTCCAAAATGAAGAGTTTTAACAGAACAATTTATTGCAACGTGGTGCTAGTTTTTTCCAAGAATCTTATTGGTTTAGTCTCGTAGAGAACGCTATTTTGCGCCATAATTCTTAAAATACATTATTGTCTAAGTGAAAAATGGTATAGCCTGTCAGCTAGTGAATAGATTAGGCTGCTAAAGGGGCGCCTAAGGTATAGCTTCATTTACTATTCTTTACTTAAAAAGTAGATAAAATAGCCGAAATTTAATTGTATCTTACATACTGGTAGAGCCAGCATAAGTTGCTTTTTCATACCTAAAATCAACTAACAGAGTCTTTATCCAACAATCGGTTTCCACTCCCGGGAATTTTTCGTGCATTTAATATGCGTTCCTCCAAACTTTGATAACCATAATTATAATAATAATATCAAGAGGAATAATGTTCACGAACTGCATGCAATGTGCAGTTGATCGGACGCTGAGTAGTCATTCCCGACCGATGTCTTCCAAGCACACAGGCCGCCAAATGGGCCTCGGGTCAGGACAAGGGCGCTCGGAGACGGTAAGCGAGGGGACACTAAAGTCTGCCTTGCTCAGAGGTGATAGTAGTACCGATGGTTCCTTCAACGAAGCAGAGGAGGAAGGAGAGCTCTGCGGAGGCACTACTGTCCCCTCCGCTGGTGCCATTGCCGCTGCCCCAGCGGGAGTGGAATGGCGGAGGACTTGGGAGGGATGCGTAGCCTCAAAGCTGAAGGTGTGTCCCTTCTCTCGACTCCGTTTAGTTGCTAAAAGATCCCTTTCGAGTTCAGTATGCTCACGTTTCTTTTTGGCACGACGGTTTTGGAACCATGTGATCACCTAATGAATACAAAAGATAATCTTATTTGTACTGCACTTTTGAACGGCTTTTTAGGTCTCATGAAACTATTAAAAGGCTAGCTACAGTCTTGTTTTGTTGTTATTAAGATCACAAGAAAACATTCCAGGGGTTTACTTTATTTTGCTTAACTATCCACTTCAAAGAGTGAACGGCTTTTCAATCCATCTATTATCCTTAGGACAGGTAGATCTCAGCTGAAAGGTAATTTTTTAACATGTCTTAAAATCACTTCAATCTCTGTCATTAAGATGCGACAAACAACTGTACTACGATAATTGTTTAACCCTCGGTTTTGGCAAAAGGCCACTTAAAGGCACTGCCATTGTACCTCTGCCTAGCCGGGGCATGCCGGTAACCCCACGCCCCACTGTGCGTCGACAATACATAACCTGCCCAAGTATAATATTTTCGTTCGTATTCAGGCGCTACATTAATAACAGCAGAAAGCAAGTCCTATATTAAAGAACAAATACCCTAGTTTCTACTGCTAAGTGATAAACCTTAGCAGGACGAAAGAAGTGCATATACTGTAAATAGAAGAATATGTGACCACCCTTAGCAGAAGGCCTTAAAAAGATGTCTGCCTTCGGCAGCTACCATAGTTCCGTCATCTGCAGGAAAGCTAGTAACAACTATAGCGACATTAGGCGTGAACTATCTAAAAATTTTGTTACAAAGCTGTTTACTGAACCTGTGGTAAGATATTAAATACGTAAACACGCAACACCTTCACTTTTCTACTAGTCGCATATAATCCATATAGATATGGCTGAGTAGCACTGAAGTGAGAACAGTGACAAGGAGGAATGAATACGAAACTCTATCCCCAAGGAACTGTGGTAAATCCCGTCCTTTGTTAAATGGCTGCTTTTAGGCCAGTGTCAATACGGCTAGCGATGGACAAGGCACGATAGTTGGCACATTCCTTCTTCCCCCAATACATATCCCGTACTGGACAAAACTCCAGATCCAGTAGCGTTGCCAAGACAGATCAGTAACGTTGCGGTCAAGTATCTTCCCAGTTGCATGTAGATTCGTCAACCGGGTCAGTTGGTTCGTAAGTGTTTTGCTTACAGAATCGATTACGCTGTGATGGCTGACATGGAAAATTTCGATTTCTTTCCTTAGGTTTGATATTGTGTGATAACCACTTTGTCCTAGCAACCACCAAAAGGTTAAATTCGCTTTTATTTCTATAATTATCAGCCTAAAAAAGCTGTTATTGGAAAAAGGCATTGAAAGAAATTGTATTTACGAAACTTGATTTCCCTTTTTCTCATATTCCTATTTGATATATTATAATTACAATACTAAATCAAATTTCAAAAGAGCCTATTTTTTCAGCCTTTAACATCCCATCCCGCCTCCGTTTTAAACGCAGACAACGGACGGATAATTACATTCGTCCAGCTACTGGTCACCTTTCAGATCACCAACCCTGTGGAAGACATCACCACTATTATCATTACTACCACTACATAGACTGCTCCATCACCCTGCTGTCGACTGACTTTAAAATTTAAGCCTGTGTTCGGGACGCCAGGAGAGTGAGGGAGATGAGAGAGCAGTTGCAAAGCCCGAAGGAGGATGCATGCAAGTGTGTGCGTGTGTGTAAGTGCGAAGAGAGGACTACCGAGACTACATCTTCTGATCAGGCATAATGAAGACAAATTCACACCGGATGTAAAATGCCCTGTCCATATGGCGCTTTAAAATCAAACCACACGACTGGGCAGTTGTTGTGATAGTCCGAACACTGTTCGAATATGGGGGGGGGGGTAAGGGACCGTTAAAAGTTCCTGAAATTCATTTTTTAAAAGGGATACCGATTCCAACTTGCCTACGGTTACCGGCATTTTAAAATAAATGAGCATGTCTAGCCCCCTCTGTACACTGAACACCCAAAAATGGCATTTGTTGGGGCTGTTACGATTGAAAATGAATAAGGGGTTTGTACCATTAGCTTCGACACAGATGCCTGGAAAAAGCTCAAAGTGTTAGTGAAAATTTGTGGCTCGGGAATATGATTATTTATTGTTTCAAAGATCTGATGCCAAGTGATGTGAATTAAAACATTCATTTATTTGAATTTGCATTGTTACCCCATCGACTACGCTCTTCATCACGCAGATGAATTCGAATTTAATAAATTGGAACAATTTTACAGAATTCTAGAGGGTTTTGATGGGTCTTAGGAGGAGTTAGTAAAAATGTTTTTTTTTTTTTAACGAAAAGCATCAAATTCCAAATTAATGAAATAAGACTTTCCTTAGCATCCACTTTTCAAAATTCCAAAAACCTTTTTTCGAAATGCTCGTTCACTGACAAAGCATCTCATCATTGTTAAAAAAGATTTTTTTACGAATACTTTGCATGATAGTTATCTGTTAAACATAAAAGTAAAATCGTTACAATCCATAAGAGCTCTCGTACTCCTACAACTGTTTTAAGTGAATTCCACAGCAATTTTCGTACAATGCACGCGATTATTACCACTTTCATTACCTAAATACTTATTTTCCGTTTCAAGTACGCGTTTTAAAGCTGAATGATGAAGAGTGTAATTTGGTTAACGCCTTAGCATTGTCACATATGTGTGGCGTCCCATACAGACGTTACAAATTTACTCCAAGGGAACGGAGTGGCCTTTGAAGGAAAAATTATAGAATGATGGCAATTGGGGCTGCATTAGAACAAGCGGGAGTTGTAATATTATCCGTTACCGGGAGCAACGAGTTGGGCCAGCTTTCTGTCCGTATGTGCGGTGAGATTTTCATCTGACTCTTTAGGCCTAGACATGTATTTCTCAACTTAATATGCTTCAAAAGCGCCCCAAGGCCATGATAATAAGAGCGACAGGACAAGTGCGGAAGATATTTTTTGTTTTTACTCCTGTCTTGCTTTTTCTATCGGATAGGGAATGAAAATCGAGGCGGTAGAGACAGCAAAGCCTATACTGACCGACAAAGTATGCGTAAATTAGTAAAGCCTATGCCTTTAGTGGTGGAATTGGGGTGGAGAGACCTAAGTTAGACCCACTACACCCAGCCAAGGTGAAAAACAAAGGCTAGTCTACTTTTTGAGCATGTAAAACTGTTTTCCCTTGCCTCCCCATTTGCTGATGCGTGTTTGTCTTGACTTTGTGTGGAAAAAAACCAGGCTGAAATACTAGCAAGCGATGACAGCATTAACAATTTGTCGTCCTGAAAAACACCAGCGTAAGTGGGCATAACTTGGCCGTCGTTTTTAAAATTAAGACAAAGCAGAACCATTACAAAGATGTTCGTAACAGGTATGACTGATGGCTCCGCTTGACTTAATTTGGTAGTCTTGGATATTTTAAAGTGCTGTAGAATGAGTGTACAGCACATTTCAAAGGTGTTTTGGTTTGGTGTGCTACTAGCACATTCCGAAGGAAATTTAGAAGGTGTTTGGATGCCATTCACCCTAAATTAAAGTGTTGATAATTTAAATCATTAGGAAAGGAAGAACTAGTAAATGACGAGGTCTAAAATTATGCAGTCATTAAAATTGTTGCTCAATCAAACAGGTTAATAGTAAATGTGGTCTTTGGTTAACACATAATGCAATAAATAAACCATCCAGATAAAAATGAGCAAGTATGAACAACATGCAGGTTCACAATAGTGGGAAGCTTTAAAACCTCAAAACCCTGTGTATTAAACTGGTCTTAATCAGCCTGGCATAAGTAGATCACGTGTAGAAACTCAAAAGATCTAGACTAGGCTGGCGTTATACATATGCTTAAGAATTAGAAAAACATTTAAGTTGAGGCATTAGCCTCCTTTTAGATCCTAATCTTCCGTTACGCTGTCTCATACCTGAGTGCTTGAGAGTCCCAATTCACCAGCAATCTGATCTCTGTCGGCAGGAGTAAGGTACTTCTGTTTGCTGAAGTACACTTCCAGCTCTGCTAGTTGAAAGGAAGTGAAAGTAGTGCGAGTCTTGCGTCTCTTCGGTGCTCGACTACTCGTTCCACTTCCCGAGCCTAACTCTCCTGTCATTGAGGCCCCAGATACTTGCTTTTGACATGTTTTGGCTACAACGAAGAAAAAATAATATTCACGATCGTACCAATGACCTCTCTCAAGTAGTCTATTAGCGAAACACATTAAATTCCGAAACATGAAAGAGTGAGGTAATGTATTATTTCGCAACCAAACTGCTAGCTTTAAAAATCCATCGACCATGAACTGTAAAATGCAATGGTAAGTAAGAAAGGCGTAAATAATTGTTCGTCTGTTAATCAAGCAAAGGAATGAGAGGTTTGAGAATTCAGTCGCCTAGGCCTGCGGCAAATAAGGCGGTACTTTTAAGTTGATGGAACTTTTACCCTTTCATGTCGCGGTTTGCGTGATCTTGCAGCTGTTTGCTGCACAGAATCCACGGCTGGTATGCCATGATATGCACAGCTCACGTACATTCTACTAACAACTTGTTGACTAGACTAATTGGTGCGGGGTATGAGAAAATTACCATCTTTTGTAACGATCGAGCTTCCCGTGTGGACACTTTATCGTTATAATTGTTGAACTCAGTATGCCAAAGGAAAATACTTATCGACTTGAATTTAGGGGATGTTTTAGATGTTATTACTCTAAATTTGTGTTTGTGGAATAGGGCCATGGGAAATACCTCCTCTTACCCTTTGGCGAATCATTCGTATTACCTAGCTGATAGGTTTTGGATAGCGTCATTTCGATGAGAGAATTCAAAGCGGGTGTTGTAAACTCGCGCTGATTAACAGATTCCTCCGGCTGTTCTCTTGACTCCTCACTACCAGAAATTGCTTTCTTTGGGAAAGAAATCGAAGGAGAAGGAAGTTGAGACGAGGAACTCGAAGCGGGAAATGGTGGTGGTGGGGGGGGTGGAGGCCAAATAATTCGATTTGACGTTCCAATGGTTTCCCGCGGCACGTCTACCTTGCCTCGTGCCTTCAGAACGCAGGTGAAGAAGATCTCTAGGAGGTGGTAAAACTCATGCACGTTTGCACCGACCTGCTGTAATTGCGGCACTGGTTCAAATGCGCTGGATAAACTACCCTCCTGTTCAGAAGACCGCTTTTGAGCTCCAATAAGTGCTTGTTGAAGCAGGTTGTTGGGTGGTGCCCCGTTAATTAGGTGAGAGAAATCCTGTTCAAAGTGGAACATGATGAGTGTCGTTTGGACCATACTTGGACGCAGAAAGGCTATTTATCTTGCCGGGAAATTGGCCGATTCCCTGCCACCACCACTGCCGTTTCCACTTTGGCGAACGCGGATTGGTTGAAAATTTTGACACGCGCACTAATGGCCAATTGGTGAGAGATGTCAAGTTCTGGCCACAATTATATCACTGCATTGTTTGCCAGTGACATCGGTGTGATTTATTTATGAAAATCACAATTTTACTGGCAAATAATTCACTTTGATGAAAGCAGTTGAGGTCACTTTGGTGGGACGAAATTGTTATTTGGGGCATTTTACTGGCCAGATTGCCTCTTATAGTAAATTATACGTTCGGCAGTTTATACATTAGGATTAAATGGTTTGATTAAAAATTCAGAGCTTTTTTTAGTTAATAGCTGCATAACTGGTGTGTTGCATTCATAAAAAATAAGCCGGATACATGCGATAAGCGGACATTGAATTAGTGGAATGAATGAACTTTATAATGCACATTATGTATAAAGGCACCCAAAAATAATCCCCAATCAGGCAAATGGATTAAATTGCCAAAACTGCGAGAAAATAGTGTTCCCGAAACCTTGAAACAAAGCGAAGAATTTTACCTTAAGTATTCACGAACAATTTGTTGATGGTTGACGGCAGGCGCATGCGCCACCACTAAAGCTTTTGTGTGATTTTAAAATATGTCAACACTTAAATACCTTATTTTAGTCTTAACGGGGGAATATTAAATACAAACTCCCATAAATCGCATTTGTCAACTCCCTGTATGTGTCACACAAAACCAGATCTCGACGTCAATATAACTAAGTTATTTTAAGCCAGAAACGAAATTTACGTAGTTAGCGAGTTGCATGAAGAATTTAAGGGCACAGCTTAACTATTCTACTAACCAGGCAACTTTTTAGAGTGCTTTATGAAGTTAAAATTGGCTAGCTTAGGTACGGTGCATTAATGATATATGCAGTGCACGATCGCCATCTCTTCAGTTCTAACCCTGTGATAACATTAAATTTTATTCATTTTCTCGCACCCAACAGCAAGGCCGCTTGTCAGCGCAGTTTTAAAATCCGCATCCTTTTTGAATTTACGTCTTCAATTAGCAGTCTGTTTGCGGAATATAAAACAACAACATAGCAACAACAGCAACTTGCGTCTCTCTCAAGCAGGCCTCGTCGTTAAATTTGTGCAGCAAGTTACATATTTTTAACTTGCAGAATTAATTTGTGCAGCAAGTTACATATTTTTAACTTGCAGAATTAATTTGTGTGGCGGAGCATGTAGAACGGAATGAAAAAGGCGAATGACTTGTTTTATGTAAATCGAATTTCATTCCGCAAAATTTAACAGCTAGGGTTTGGCTACTACCAAACCTGTAGTTGAAATCATACTTCAAACAAAGGTCGCCGTGATCTCGAGCCTTTGGAAGTGGATAGTGGAAAGGGTGCACATTTTATTTTGAAAAAAATTTCCAATGGTTTTCATGTGGTCAGAGTTAATGTTACTGTGACAGTCTAGCAAACTATCAAATAACTCCTTAATTCTTGGCACTTTGGTGCTAAGTTCATCATCCTAAGTAACAAATTGCAATTGTGTTGACAGTAAAAATGAAATAGCAAAAAGTCGTATTTCGACAAAATGTGCTTTTAATTTTGGGGCAATCTTCAAGTGTTAGATTTGAAATGATTTAGGTGTTGCCCTTGAAATGCGTGGGCTGTTACTGCTGGTGCTCTTCTAGTATTCGCTTTCAGAATGTGGAAGTTCCAACTTGTAGGTTACAGGCACAATTAACATGAAAATAAAAGTGTAAGGTATGGCCGAATTTAACTACGTTTGTACGCAACAATAAAGGCGCACTTTTTAGATCCAATATACACCGCATCATTTTGTCAAGAATGCTCTCAAAGACCTTCACATTCCCCAAACTGACGATCGACTGCAAAATTGTCATGGCAAAACGTCTGTGTTGACTTATTCCAACATCCTTGACAAATATGCTAGCTTACGTGGGGGGCTAACGAAGTGGGGGGAGGTAGAGAGAATGGGAAGAGGAGAGGGAGAGGGAAAACGCGACCTCTCACCCGCATTCCCTTTTGTCCGAACACCGGGACGACACAACAGTTGTCCCTGCCTCGTTGGGCCTCAGCCTGCTGGAAAAATAACAACACCGCCATTAAACAGGTCAAGTAAGGGTTAATTAGTCGTCATCCCAAACACAGCTGCTGTCAGGTTGTGGGCACACGCGCAAGCGCACTGCACGCTACTGGGCGGAAACACGGGGATACCTTAGAGCGAAAATGCCGCAATGGAGAATTCGCTCCCAACGCGATAAAAGGGCGTTTCGACTGATATTAGAAGAAGGCATTTCTTTCGAAGAAGGCATGTACTTTAAATGTCCTATCAATCTATGGCAATGAATTTTCATTTAGTATTGTTACAAAAACGTATCAGGACGTGAATCGTGCTGCTTCACTTCCATAAATTATCACGAGTTTCGTAGCGGTAATCCAAAAACCGAAACTTGTATTAGTTTACAGTTTTAGAAAAGAAACATTAATTCTCCGTCATCAAAAAAAGCGAGTCGGTTTAATAAATACCTTTTTTTGTTCATTTAAGTGCACTGTAAGCTTTTGATTGCACAGCTGCATCAGATGTCCACGTCCATTTAAGTAAGACGAGGACTTCATTCCAACCAAAGGATTTATATCAAACCGGATAGATAGGTTTCAGTCGTAAATGTTTGGTCTCCAGCATGTTATTTATGATGAACAACCTCATTGCAGTCCACCGAACAGAAGGCTTGGCGTTGTGGAGATGGGATGGTGCGTGTCTCGTAAATGTGGGGTAGATAGTGAATGGATTGTTTGAAAATAACAAATGATATAATCGTTCGCTTAAAATTGTGATAGAAAAGTAATTTTTCGTCACAAGTCAGTCAGCGGACGATCTAAAGATGGCTCGCTTTGCAACGTAAAATGTGTGAAGAACAAAATGAAAGTACTTATTTGATGCTTCCACTACGATATTCCCTTTCTCGCTGATGCACGTGTAAACAAATTGTTTCATCACTCACGCCAAACAAGACGGAAAGTCATACATTATCATAATCAAATCGAAACCACACGAACTTTTTTGGTATGTTAACACATTTAAATGTCAAATGTTTCAGCGGATACCCTACTTTGGACAAATTAGATTGTTCGGAAATAAGAATTTTAAGCAAATAAATGATTCCCAAAGCTTTCCATTTTACATGACACGAAAGTAAATACGGTTATACTCCACCGTGTTTTAGCTTTCATGTCCGTCAAGGCAGACAGAGAGGTGAGGAGTGAAGAACCAATTTTCACTCCTTAAGTGAACATGACATCCAATTAGCATTACCTCTGAGGTCAGGAGCCAGCAACAACGACCTTGAAATACCACAGTAATTAAAATTCAGAAGTACTGAGAAGAAAGTTTGCCGGAAGCACATAACCGTTAGCGTTGAGTTATTTCACCAGAAAGAACTCTCACCCATATAAAAATAAAGTGGAATCATCTTCAGTAAAGTAGATGAAAGTAGTACGTGTTAAGCACTTCTCCTTAAAATGCATAATTTTGCCTTAGAAAATATTCCATAAGGGAAAATATGGGATATCAATGCATTTTGGCGTTGATCAATCACTTAGCTCGAACTAACTCCAATTCTTGTTGAGTAAATTAAATTAACATTGCACAATTTATAATAATTATGGCAGCTAAGCGAAGATGGTTTGCTAATCACGGCAGTGTCAGGATAACATGACGCTGGTGTGAAGCATGTTAACTCATAAACGAGTTTTGGGAGAGGTGGGAGGGGGAGTGGTTGAAAAAACGCAGCGACAATGTGGGGGAAATGGAGGGAGGAGGAAGAGTAGAATGCCCTCTCATTAGCATGCATGGGCATACACAGACAACTGACACGCACATTGGGAGAGAGGACTAGATGCTATCGTGCCACATCCAGCCTCTGCCTTTCTCGTTGCGGCGAGGAAAAAATCGAAAACGTGCCTAATGTTTCATCACCCCAGGAATCAATTCACCTCCCCCTCTGTTCCTCATGTATGTCAAAAAGTCTCACCACGGAAAAAGATGTTCTGTCATGACTCGAGGCTTAAGGATTAATTTACCAACAATCTTGTGTGCTTTTCTATTGGTACCGCAGATTAGGCACTGATGAACAGTAGAACTCAAAAGCACAATGCAATAATTTGATCTACGAGTAGTAATTGGAAAGCAGACTTGACCATTCTTAGATTGGGTTGGAAACTATGTACAGCCAACCTTCGATTATTTGGCCATAACTTATCCACTATGTTCGCAATCCTCTACAAAATTTTGTTGGTTTTCCGTTTGTAATACAGATGTACCTCTGTCAAGAGACATTTTGGCATTAAAAGGCAAATTATTCGAAATATATGTGGATTGTAATTTAGTTTCTTCCGTTTTGAGTCTGCAGTACCACAATCACCATAATTCAACTTTTGGTTAGCTAACTTAGACAACGGCTAGGCAGTCGTTCTGCATATATTATGTCTAGAGTAGTGCTTTCTTAATTCTACCCATTATTCAAATGACAGAAAAGCGGTAACATGGACCACCAAGTAAGTAAACCCACGTTTTCTCACTAAAGTCGGTCATTTTTGTTAGTGAATTGTTTCCTTGCTATCGTAGTTTCATCCTTTGACATCTTAAATAATCTGTTTCTTTGCCAAATACAGCCCCTAAAATACTTTAGTTATTTGTTTAAACCTCAATTTTGGTAACGGCCCACCTAGGGCTCAGTCACTGTACCACAGCTGGGCAGCCTGGCCTGCGGGCTACCCTAGTAGCCCCGAGCCCTTCTGTTGGTCCTCAATTCACATTCTGGCAGGGCATTGTGTCTTCTGTCGTACTAAGGGAAGGTTCATGGCGCTAAAGACACAGTTCTTATTTTTTCGGGTATCTGTGCCTTCTCATGTACCTACTGCTATGGATAATCG